CAAAGGGGGTCACGACCCACAGGTTGAAAACCGCTGATAAGCAAGAGGAAGAGGGGACAGGATAGACACAAAGCTTGCCAAGGCAGAATGGCAAGCATTTGACTGGTGCAGTTTCACAAACAAGACTGAGGAGGAGTCGTCCAACAATAGTTCATCAGACATGTACCACATTCAAGGGGCTGTTCCCATTGCTGGGACCACAGAGGGAGCAAGCAATCAGGAACTGGGACCAGCTCTGCAAGAGCAGCAGATACACTAAGTGGTGTCGACCAAGCTACCTGTCCCCTAGAGGGCACCTCCCCAGGCTGGCCCAATCATATTACTCTATTGTGGTAGCCCCAATGATGGCCCCAAACAATACTTTCTCTCCCTCTATGCACAAGCTGCTCTACCCCTCAAAAGGTAGAGCTTATTTCCCCTCCCTTTCAATATGGACTGGGCCTGTGACTGGTTTTGGCCAGAAGTAATATCCGGGGACCTCCCAGCACAGGTTTAAGGGGCCTGGCAGCTTCCATTTCCTTCCTTCTAGAATACTAGCTCTTGGATGCTCCCTCTTGGAAACCAGCTGCCACGTGTGGAGAAGCCCAAACCATCCATATACAGGACATATGGAGGAGAACAGAGTTGCTCTCATCAACAGCTCCAGCTGAGGTCCCAGCTGCCAGACATTTAGTTGAGTCATCTTGAATGGCCCAGCCAACCCCTAGGATGGGTGATCTCGGCTGACAGGTGGAGCACAAGAACCTCCCAGCTGAGTCCAGTTAACTTAGTTCATTCTTCAAGAGATAATAAAATGGCAGTTGTTTTAAATCACTGAGTTACAAAGTGGTTTGTTATGCAATAGATAGCCAATGTAACTACACATCTGGCCACCTTCATTTGACCCATGGGTAGGCATGTACCCAATCAGACTCCTGCTAGAACCATGAAAAGAGACGCGTTCCCTTTCTAGCGGCAAAGCCAGAAGGTGTGAGGCCCAGAAGCTGCCTCTATCCTGCAAAGAAAGCAAGCCAATTCAAAAGAAAGAAGACAGAGAGGAGCATGGATGAGTCTGGGAGCCCCAGCTAAGCTTGAGTTCTGATTCTAGTTGGCTCGAGATCAGGCTGCCCCACTCTCCTCCTGTTTAACTAAACCTTTCCTTATTTACCCCAGCTAGTTTGAATTGGGTTTCCATAACTTAAATCAAGAAACCCTGACTAAAACGCTGGCTCAGCATTTCCAAGAGCACCAAATCGACAAATGTATATGACTACACCTGGCCTATGGCTGATTATAATACCATGTTATACTCGCCATAATGGCAAACATATAAAGTCTGACAATAACAAGAATTGGTGAGGGTGTAGGAAAATGTAAGAGTGCAAATTAAAGCATCCATTTTGGAAAATAATGTCTTACTACCTAGAAAGTTGGAAATGTGCCTACCCTACCACACAGCAATTGTGCTTCTATGTACATACCCCAAAGGAACTTGTGTACACACAAGAATATTTGAAGCAGCTTTGTAATAGCTTGTAATAGTAAAAACTGGAGGCTATTTTAAACATCTAATATAAAGAGAATGTGTAAAATGCAGAATATTTGTGTACTGAAATGCCACACAGCAGTGAATCTGGTTGCATTACTATAATTATTGGTTGCATTACATGCAATAACATGAATGTCACCAATATTAAGCAATAAAAAGAGCAAGTCACAGAAAAATTTATACAGTATATTCTATTTCTATAAGGCTCAAAATCAAGCAAGACTAAATAATATATAAATATATGAAAAGTCCGGCCGGTGTGGCTCAGTGGTTGAGTGTCAACTCATGCATCAAGAGGTTTAAGTGTTGCATGCATCAACAGTTCACTCAGACAGTGGTTGAGTGTCGACTCATGCCGGTTCAATTCCCGGTCAGGACACATGCCCAGCTTATGGGCCCAATCCCCAGTGTGGGGCATGCAGGAGGCGGCCAACTGATGTTCTCTCTCATCGATGTTTCTATCTCTCTCTCCCTCTCACTTCCTCTCTTTCTAAAATCAATAAAGGAAAAAAAAAAAAAAAAACAAATATATGAAGAAAAACTGAAAAGTAAAACAAAACAAAACAAACTCAAAACTCAGGATAGTAGTTTTCTCTGAGGATAGAATCAGAAGGGATAAAAAGTTACCTTCAAAGTTACTGATGATGTCATTTTTCTTAAACTAAGTGGTAAGTATAGAAATATTCAATTATTATCTTCAAACCACACATATACTTTATATGTACTCTTGTATACAGAGATATTTCATAATTAAAAATAATTTTATTGACTTTTAGAGAGGGAGGAAGGGAGGGAGGGAGTTGGAGAGAGAGAGAGAGAAGGGCCACCTGGATCAGCTAGCTGCCTCCTGCATGCGCCCAACTGGGGACCAAACCTGCAACCCAGGCATGTGCCCTGACCAGGAGTCCAATCGGTGACCTTCCAGTGCATGGGACAATGCTCCATGCTCCAACCAACTAAACCACACTGGCCAGGGCCATAATAAAAATTTTAAGTGAATTTTTAAAAGGCAAACATCACATTGGGCTAAACACTATAATCCAACCATATACCTAACACAAAAGACATATTAAACAAAATAACATAGGTTAAAAATAAAGGGATGGGCAAAGTTATATCAGACAAACACAGACAAAAAAAGACACATAAAAAAGTTATCTAATGTAAGATAAATTAGGACTCAAAGCAAAAAACATAATAGTTTAGTGTGTTATTTCATACATAAATATATGTAATCCACGACAGAAATATTATCAGTCACAAACTATGAGATAAACATAGTAGCCTCAAAATGTACAAAGCAAATAATAATAGAAATAATCAAGGAAAATGTCTGAGGCATAATTTTATTTTTATTTTTTTAATTTTAAATTTCACACAGTAAAATAAAATATTTTGGGTGAACAGTTTTGACAAATGCATAAAGTTGTGTCACTACCACCACCACAATCAATATACAGAACAGTTCTATCACCCTTCAAAATGCCCTCCTGCTGCCCTTTGTAGTCAGATTACATCCCCTCCCACATTCCTGGGAACTCTTTTTATCTATTCTCCATCCTTATAGCTTGTCTTCTTTAGAATGTTATAGAAATGGAATTATACCATCTTTTAAGTCTGGCTCCTTTCACGAAGCATAATGCCTCTGAGATTCTTCCAAGTGTTGCATGCATCAACAGTTCATTCTATTTTATTGCCGAGTAGCACTCAATTGTATGGATACACCACAATCGCTTACCATCCTTAACATTTGCCCAGTAAAGGACTTTTGCGTTGTTCATTGTGGAGTGAAAGGATTATGAATAATGTTATAAACATTTGTGTACAGGATTTTGTGTGAACATAAAATTTCATTTCTCTTGGATAAAAACCTAGGGACAGCTTAGTCATTTATATATGTAAGTGTGTGTTTAAAAGAAACTGTCCAATTTCTTTTCCAAAATGGTTGTACTATTTTGTTCCCAAATAGTAATGGAGCAAAGTTGATGCTTTGCATTTTCAAGTGTTTGGTATTTGAAGCATAATCTTAACACCTCACTATCAATCAGTGAGAGTGCATACGCTCACAATCAAGTAAAAAATAGAGATATGGACAATATAATTACAACACAACTAAAGCTGAGTTGATAAATATTTCATGTCAATATTTGTACATGATAATGAAAACATCTTCATTTCAAAAATCTGTAGAACATATAAAAATAGATATTCTAGGCCACAAAAATTTTTAATACATTTCCCAATGTAGACACTGTGCCACAACGTAATAAATGTTGAAGTTAATAACAAAAGTTTAAATTGCAGTAAAAATAATTGCACATAAGTTATAAAACACTTGCCAAAATAATTATTGCTTTGAATCAAAAAGAAATTTTTAAGTTTAACTAAAGACTATGTGATAATAAAAATAAGAGCCCCATTCAACTACAAAGTCATAGGTTGAGATGTTTTCATCATTACAAAAATCCTAAGGAAAACATATGATTGAAATGAAGATAACCAGAAATTGTGACTGTTTACTGTTCTTTTTCCCAGTAAATCAAGCTCTTAGAAGGTAAGGTCATACAGTAGTCCTATAATCCACTGGTGAATAGTGCGCCTGCCTCAGTATGAGCTCAATACTTGGAATCACTTTTAGCTTTCCCAGCGTTAGCCCTTCTCTCCCTTGGGCTTCCACAGTAGGCTGCTATTTTAGCATTTATTAAAGTATTGCAATCACATAAGTTTTCAACATCACACCAGTCCTTTAAAAACAAATATTTCTTTAACACTCAGAATGCGCCAGGAGATGGAGATTAATTCACTTAATCATCACAACTTTTTCTGGACACAGTTTTTCAGAAATTGAGGCTCAGACACGTTAAGGGATCAAGGTCACAGAGCGAATTCATCACACTGTCAGGATCTGGTTGCACACAGTTCTCTCACACACAAGCTCTTTCTACAGGAAGGTTACTGTGAATTCGGAGGTAACGTTTGTCACCCTTGGATCCTCAGCTCCTAACCGAGCTCCTGACACAGAATATCTCAAACAAATTAGACATTACTTGCGTTCTGTTGTTCGTAAAGTTTTCTTTTGAGGATGGTAGAGAGATGTGCTAATTAGAAGGCCGTGACCGAGATGCGGAAAGAAGACCAGAAGAACTTTAGACACAGCATTACTCTCGGTCTCTCCTAGCCTCCCATCTCCATGGTTGGCTTGTAACCCCTCTATATTCTGGAGGACTCAGCGAGCATGACCAATCATTAGGCCACTTTCCAGGCACGTGGCCGGAAGTTTGGCTTGCTATTGGTTAATAATGGTAAGGCCCGCCCAACCACCTCCTGTCGGCTCCTTTAAGTAGAACCCGTGAGCAGTCCTCCGCCTTTTGGCAGCTGTGAAGATGGGGAGGTGAGGTGGTCTATGGCGCGGGCTATGGCGCGTTTGCACCGGGTGTTCGGGACTCTGGAGCTGGGTGGAGACGGGTGGCCAGCGGTGATGACATATCAATCAAAGCACGTGTTAGACTGCTGACAAGGGTGATGCGAATTGTAGTCTGAGCCTGGCCGTCGCGGGGCGGCGAGGAGGAAACGGGCCAACGCAGGGACACCCGCTTACTCACCGCTCTCATTGCAGATTCCGGCTGGGCCGAGGACGTCGGATCTCACTGTCCTCCCAGCGCGTCGACCCTCCCCAGAAGGCATTCAATAAAATGGTTTGATCCTAGCGCTGGTGTCGGTGTTTTCTTGTGACGCGCTGCCTTTGAGCCCCCGCTGCGCCTGCGCGTGGCGCCGGGGGTCAGGCTGCAGCGCCAGAGCACGTGCAAGCGCATAACTGGGGCCGACGGCTCCCCGCCGGTGGCCCTTTTAACCGCTGGCGACAGGCACCGCGCCGCCGGGGACGGGCTTTCGGGGGTTATGACCGACCCAGCCCTTAGCAAAGGTTGAAATGCCCTACGGAGAGGGCGGGGATCCTGTAGGCTCTGCTACCTAGTGCCCCGCACATTTCCTGTATTGGCTCTTTTTCCTTGGTGATAAGTGAGAGACGTATCTTCATGACCGCGGTGTGGATGGTTGTTGAGAAGGGAGACGTGGCTAAGGTGTAGCTGCGACCTTTTTACAAAAAAAAGGACCCGTTAGGGCCAACTGCTTATTTGGATACCGTGGCCAAGCGTTGGGCAAATGCATGTGTGGGTTAGCCTAAACTGCCTACGTGAGATGGTAGATTTTATGTATTACTGGGCACACAAATAATTGCACTCAAACCTTGGCAGTCCAGATTCCAGGCGATACACAGCCTCACCTGGGCTTAGATTTAATGTGTACAGGGAAGCACAAGTACAGTGTAAGCTGCTTTGGCAACTGGAAGGGGGCCCATGGAACAGAACTACTAGGCAATACAGTTCAGGATTGACCCCCTCAGATCAAAGGTGGGTGAGAAGAATAGCACCTAGCTCCTGTCAGGTGTGAGGGACTACCTGGGATCCTTAAGAATGCTGGTCTAGCCCTGGCCGGTTTGGCTCAGCCTTTAGAGCATTGACCTGGGGTCTAGAGAGACCGGGTTTGGTTCCCACTAAGGGCATGTACCTCGGTTGCAGTTTGTCCCCAGCCCTGGTTGTGTTGTGTTGTGTGGGTGGCAGCCACTTGATGTGTCCCTTTCACGTTGATGTTTCTCTCCCTCTTTATCTGGACAAAAAAAATGGAAAAATGCCCTCGGGTGAGGACAGAAAAAAAATTCTGGTCTTATGATCACCCAGGAAACTGAAGTTGCTATTGGCAGCTGAGGGCCCAAGTGCCCTGTACCCACTGTTTACTCTGTCCCTATTTAAACCGGATTTAGTAGAAATAACTGAGATGCTTTTATCTAGTATTTGACATTTATTCTGTGAAACAAGGCAAGCGATTGTAAATCCCCACATTACTACTTAAGTGCAATAGGGTACAGTCGTGTAATCTCTACACAGTGCATCTAGTCCTTCGCCTTTAGTTATTGCACAAATTATAAAGACCAGTGAACAAGACATGCGGACTGACTGGCAAACTAGCTTACACAATGAGAAATTAGAACAGCACACCAACGGGAATGGTCAAATTTAAGTCAAATGGTTTAATGGTGCCATTAATCAAATAAGGGTTCAAATATTTTTTAATATATTAATTTCTTCAAAGTCATGTTCAGGCAAGGTGCTGTTTTAAAAAATCACTATTAGCTTAGTACACATGTAAATTATCAAAAGTTACGCAAGGTAATTTTGATGTTGAACGCAGCTTTAAACAAATCATTTTAAATGTACTTCTCAAAGCAAATTATACAATTAGACAGGGCCTCCACACTTGTAAACGAAACGTTCTGACACAAATGCACAAATCAAAGTTGGCAACGTTGAAGAAATGTCACATTAATTCTGAGATAAATGTAGTGTCTGCAGTTGAGTAGACTTTTGGTCTTGACTCTTGTGATGATAGCTGTTCAGTTTGGGCCATCAGAAAAACTGCCCACAGAACATCCAGAACCAATTAAAGTTTCCTGGAGCACACTAGAGAAGACTGATCAGGTCATGGTGTGGAGTTTGACATTTTCACATATGCTCATGTTAGGAAACCATTTGGAATTAGAACCAGGTGATTGTATGATTGTATCTCATTGGTAAAGGCTTGGGATGGTTTGATCATGTATCCATGTATGTACTATGGCTACTTGCTTCCAAGACACACAGTTTAATATGAAGGAAAGTAAGTTGCTATGCATACCTCTTTATCACCAATGAAACAGTTTACAAAATTCCATTCCCCACCCTCCACATGTTACCACACTGACATTCTCAGGATGTGGAGGGCTGCATCACATACAAACTAGGGGTGAGAAAATGTTCCATTTGTGCTCTGGCTGCCTGAGGAAAAGCTTTGGAGTTGAGGCAAGGGGAAGGAAGCCTTCCAGCTGTAGCTTTGCTCTTAATGTGCTCTTTTGCTGCCACAAAAACTGGTAGACAAAAAAAGAGCCATGGTGTGAGTCAGGTAACCTCTGGATCCACCATGATTCTTCCAATCTCTTCTGAGTCGAAGCTTTGCAGTAGGCAATCCAGACACTGGTTGCTGGACACGTGGAATGACACCTCACAGTGGAATGGGCACTGGCAGGCAGAGGGCAGAAGCTGTGGCAAGAGGAAAGGCTTGTGCTACAGCACAGACGGCAGCCGAAAACCCCGCACCTGGAGCTAGATCTCAATACTGGCAACGTCAGGTCTTCACCCATCACAGCTGGTCAGCAGCCTCCACAAGGGGGTCTTTCAGGAGGCAGGAAGTGGAGCGGGGGTCCATGGCTGAGTGCATTATAGGGATATAAATATCATCCATATTTGGCATGACAAAAACTTTCTGTAGGAAGAAAGAACAGCCATGTGGAAAGAGGCTTTGTTTTCAAAGGATGCCATCCTCACTATTCTGATACTGTAGGCTATAGACAGATTTTCAAAATAAAGATGAAAGAACTCCCTATATGTTCTAAACTGCCCTATTTAGAAACAGTTGAACAATCATGTCAGTGTGTGAACATGAACCCAAACGCCAGCCCTGAAGGCAGATTTCATGTACATATAATAAAATTATTCATAAATTGGCAAATGGACTTGATATTAAGAAAATTGGCCTAAGCTGCTCATAACATTTCTGAATTACTAGGTCCAGAAGACATTCTAAACGAATTTATCCATTTAAATCTAGCAACAAAATGTACACTTAAAAAACAAAAAGAAACAGAACCAGACCAAAAAATCCTATTATAATGAAGACCCAAAGGATAATCAGTGATTGATAGTAATGGTGTTTTGCCTCTTTATGAACTAGTCTTACATAAATGAGTTTTGGCAATGCATTCAATCTTGAGTAGCGCTCTTCCAAAAGCATAAGTGAAAACAAAAACAGGTGGTTCTGGGAGAATGTAGCAGTTACCCTTCAACTTCCCAATTTGCCTCAAAAATACCAGGCACCAACCTCTGCCCCCTTGTCCCTTCTTTTGCTCCTTGTACCCCAATACCCCTAAAAAAAAAAAAAAAAAAGAAGATCTGCTCAAATTACTAACATACAGTCTAGGAGATAAAAAGTTTTTTAACTGAAGGCACTAGGTGTTTCCCATAGCTAGGTTCAAAACACTTTTCTATTTGGTGATAATAAATAAGCTTTCCAGAAACTGGTTTTCAGTTATATTTAATCTATAGCTTTTAAATAATAAAAATATAGTTTTCAAGGCTGTATCTCAAAACATACCACTGCAAAAATATCTGGGTCTTCTAAAGGTGAATTTCAATACAAAGTAAATTGCAAATCCATAAAACCTTGAAAAATAACTGCCTCAAATATCTGATTACAATTTGATAAAAATAGCTCGTCTCAGGGCCTGGGCTACACTGCTATTAACCCTTGGTGGCAGAGTGCAGCAGACAGGCTCGGAGAATGAGCTCTGGCTTAGGAATCAGTCTACCCTAGAAGATCACAGGGGAGGGACTGGCCTGGTGCATCTTTAGAATCCCAGGTCGGGGGTAGCTGTACGTGGGAGGGTTTTCATGAGAACTGAACAAACTGAGCAAGGTGTGTATCACACAGGGCAGGAGCAACTTCACTGACCATGAGTGCTATTAGCTGGTCAATTCCAGGGCCCACAAATCCAAAGATGGCCTGAGCAAGCAGAGGGCTTAACCTTTGCCAAGCCTACTAGTATAAGACTGTGCTCTTTGGCCCCCACCTTTTGGGTTTCCGTTTTGAAGACTACTTAACAGGGTGCTGTGGGTGAGTTTCAGTCTTTGAAGCTGCCTGAGACTTTACACCTGTTTGATCTTATGTGTACTTCCCTGGGATGAGGCTCCTCAGAGGAGGATCCTGACCCACATGGAGTTCAGAGCCTCTGTTCTCCACCCAGAGCCTTTAGCCTCGGTGTGAAATAGGAGATGACACTGCAGGTGTACCTGAAACTCTTGCTCCAGTTTCTTCTCTATCCAGTCTGTCACATGAACTAAAGTCACTTCTCTCTCTCCAAGTTTTGGCCGAGCTTTCAGCTCTACATACGGTGGCTTCCGGAAACCATACCTTTTAAAAACAGACGAGTAATAACCACATTTAAGAGCAAAGAAAGAAAGCAACAAATACCAACACACATTCCTCATTTACACAGGACTTCATCACTACTTAAACGTTCTTATTGTGATAATCCCCTCTAAAAATCATTCAGCACAGCAAGTATGAACTGTGAACTCTCTGTGTCCCTGCCCCATGTGTAGGGCTGTGATGATCTGAGAACAGTTTTGACAAACTGGGAAAGCCAGGAAGCCCCCAAGGAAAAGTCAGTGACCTGGGCTTCATTTTTCCTAAAATGGCAACAACCTTTTTGTTTCTATTTTTATAATAGTAGTATATACATATTATAAAACCCAAATATACAAGTGTAAAAGCTGAAAGTGAAAGTGCCTCTCTCTGCACCTTTCCCAAGATGGGACGGCTGAGAGAAGTGGTCCTCTTCCCCACACTCCTAATAGGCGCGTGTAAACAGAGAATGTTCTATAACCTGCATTTTCATTCCACCCTCCACACCACGCTTACTATGGCTTCTCGATGGAGCCGACTGGCGCACAGAGCTGTTGGGAATGGATCCAGATGAGACTGTGTGCTATCAACTATCTAAAAACTTCAATCTGTCATGGACCAATGTTTTCAAAATACAATAAAAATGTGAAATTGCTAGAAATATTTCTAAACATCCTCAAAATCTAGACTTCTCTTTGTAGACCATTAACAAATGGTTCAACATTTGAGCATTCACTGGGTAGCAATATCCTAGAGGCCTTCAATTTTATCTCCCATTGAGCAGTGGCATCTATAACTGATAAAGCTTAGAAAGGAAATAAATGTTACCAACTCTTAGTATTTTAAAACATTTTAAAATTAGGTGTGGTAGACTGTACAGAAGGGTATTAACTGGTCATTTTTGGATGGTAAGATTATAGGCCTTTTTTCCATTTTGTTCCAATGAAAATATTACATTAAAAAAAAAGAATCTTAAAATGTTATTTTTGCATTTTTACTGGGAAACACCAATAACATCATTAAATGATTAGTCAATTCAAAAAGCCTCTGCAGATCTTCCCTACGAACCCTTCTGAACATGAAGGACATGTACTACTAGCATGCTGGTTTCACTTCATGATAGAACAGAGCTGTATTTTTCATACCAGTGTAGTTTATGGTACACCACAAGGTCTCATACATTCTTGTATACACTTATGTGCATTTTATAGGATGTGGAATGTCAATTTTAAACTGAGATTCACAGATAGTTTTCCTCTGTAGGACCCATGAATAATTTATTTCAGTGATTCTCAATCCTGGCCAGGGTGCTAGTCTGGGAACAGCTTTGTCTTTAACAAGTCCCCATGTTAACTGTGATATACAGGTGGGCTGAGAACCACTGGTTCATTCAGTTACAACTCCTTGGATAGACTGCCTACCACAGTTCCCAAGTGCACATGCTCCTGCCTCCTAAACATGTAGGCCCAACCCAGGGAAGTCTTCCCTAACCGCCTGGGACTCTGCTGAATGTGTGATCCCCGTCGGTAAAGTGGGGGTAACAATGGCACCTATCTCCACAGGATGCTGTGAGGACTGACCCGGTGAAGCAGCTACACCCCTGGCCAGGCAGAGGAGAGCTCTACAAATGGCAGCTGTTCTTACTGGTGGAAAGAGTTGGCTCTAGAGAGGACAAAGATCAAGAATAGAAGCAGCTCATCCCATCAACTTCACTTAATGACTTTAACTCTTACTAACATGTGAAGATGAATCTTTAAATGTGAATTAACCATTCACAGAAGAAAGTAGGTTCCATAAAAAACATCTGAAAGTGCTTCTGCCCGAGAACAGGTACTTTCCATAATGTCAAGGATAAGCAGGCTGGGATTTTTATGGTCATGCAACAAGGGAAATCACAGCTGTCCTGGAGGGCCCCTTTACATACCATATTCGGTCAGTTGGGGGAGGTGGAATGTTGACCGTCAAGGTTCCTCTACATTCCTGTACTTCTACAGTGAGCAGCAGGGGTGTATTGGAGACTTCTTCTATCTTCTTCTTAATGAACTCTGTCTCTGTTGCTTTTTGGAAATATTTTGACTTGGTAATTTTATCAACAAACCTCATAATCTTACTTGTTCGATGACCTCCAACATACCTTTCAATGAAGAACACAAATGGGTGTTAATATAAACTTCGCTCCTCCACAAATGAAAACTTTGTGGTTCTTTGTTCACTTTATTTTTTTATTTTTTAAATAAATTTTTTTTCTTTATTGATTTTAGAAAGAGAGGAAAGGAGAGGGAGAGGGAGAAAGAGATAGAAACAGCAATGAGAGAGAACATCGATTGGCCACCTCTTACATGCCCCCCACTGGGGATCAGGCCCACAATCTGGGCATGTGCCCTGACCAGGAATCGAACCTGCAACCTTTTGGTGCATGGGTCAATGCTCAACCACTGAGCCACACTGGCTGGGCTTTGTTCACTTTAACTGAGACCAGAGTTTCTCAGCTGCAGCACCGCTGACATTCTGGACTGGGTAATTATTTACTGTGGGGATTGTCCTGTACACTGTAAATGTTTAGCAGCACTGCTGTTCTCTACTGTATCATTAGCACATTCTCCTCAGTCATGACAATAAAAAAATGTCCGTCAGGCCCTGGCTGGTTTGGCTCAGCGGTAGAGTGTCAGCCCACAGACCAAAGAGTCGCAGGTTCAATTCTGGTCAAGGGCATGTGCCTTGGTTGCAGTTTGATCCCCAGCCCTGGTCGGGGTCGTGCAGGAGGCAGCCAGTTGCTATGTCTCTCTCACATCAATGTTTCTCCCCCCACACTCCCCCATCTGAAAAATCAATGGAAAAATATCCTTGGGTGAGGATTTTTTAAAAAAAAGGTCGCCCTGGCCGGTTTTGTTCAGTGGTCAGAGCGTTGGCCTGTGGTCCAGAGAGACCCGGGTTCGGTTCCCGCTAAGGGCATGTACCTTGGTTGCAGTTTGTCCCCAGCCCTGGGTGGTCGTGAGGGTGGCAGCCACTCGATGTGTCCCTTTCACATCGATGTTTCTCTCTCTCTAAAGAAAAAAATTTAAAAAATAAAAATAAAAAAAGGTCATCAGACATTGTTAAATGTCCTCTGGGTGCAAAATAATCCCCAATTGAAAACTACTACTTTAGACAAGGTGGAAAGATCACACGGAGCTGAGTCATGACAATGGAGGGTCACATAAAATTCTCATAGGGCAAACTGAGAAGGCATCTCATGTTTATAACATGCAAATACTGACTATAAATCCAGTGTCTTCTTAGAGGAATCTCATCATCTCTAGATGGCACTAAGAATCATACTTCATCAATAGGGACACAAAATATAATTTTTTACTGACCACATTTTGGGTGCTATCATACCAACTTTGAACAACTACTTTTTAAAGGGCTTAGGAACTTCTGAAGGAAAATGCTGCATCAAGCTGACGTGCTAGCAGGCCAAGAAAGCAAACTTTTGTATCCAGTCAATCTGCCATCAGACTGCCCTAAGAGAGGGTAGTTGCTTTTCACAGTCCATGACAGTTCCAGAGGTCAGGAGTAGTATGTCCATGTGTGTAGAGATAAGCAAGCATTCCTAAGGTCAAGTGGGTAGGATTTATTTACTTATGTTTTATTTTTTAATGTTTTATTAATTTTTCTTAGAGAGAGGAAGGGAGAGGGAGAGAAACAGAAACATCGATGAGAGAAGCATCAACATTGATTGGCTGCCTCCTGCTGGCCCCCTACTGGGGATCAAGCCCTCAACCCAGGCAATGTGTTCTGATCTGGAATCGAACCAGTGACCTCTTGGTGCATAGGTCAACGCCCAACTACTGAGCCACACCAGCCAGACTCAAGCAGGTAGATTTTAAATAATGCACACAAACTTTAGAACCAACTCCTCAAACAACGGTTCTCTTTTCACCTTCTGTAGGATTTCAAAAGTGAATAGACTGATACTTTCTTACAGATGCTTCTGGCTTCTTTATAATCTTTAAATAACTAAAAGATCGGTACAGAGAGGCTATTTAAGCACTTTGATCATTCCACAGTCCAAGTAACAGGCAGAGAGCCCTGGAAATGAACCCAAGGGAAGGGGGAGTAATGCTCTCCACTGGGCACCAGGGGGCGATGTTATATAATTTGTGCTCCTTGTGATAAACACCCGCCCTTCAGTTCTATTATTTACTCCAATGGCCCAAGAAAGCCATTTTGTTTGGGGCCCCTTTTTTAAATTTATTTTTTTGTTAATCCTTACCCAAGGATATTTTCCCATTAATTTTTAGATAGCATGGAAGGAGGGGAGGGAGGAAGAGGGAAAGAGGGAGGTGGAGGGAGAGAGAGAGAGAGAGAGAGAGAGAGAAAGAAACATCGATGTGAGAGAGACATGTTGATTGGTTGCCTTCTGCAAGACCCTGACCTGGGCCGGGGATAGAACCTGCAACCCCGGTACGTGCCCTTGACGAGGATTCAAACCTGAGACCCTTTGGTCCGAAGGCCAATGCTCTAACGGCCGAGATAAACCAGCCAGGGCTGGGACCTTCTTAACTAAAGAAAGCTATATGGGGTTTTTTGTTTTAGGGCCTACAATTTAGACAAGCCACTGACTATGGGTTATTAATGCAAAAACCATTCACTCAATGTGAAGGAGAAGGGAAAAACACAGAGGAAGAAGGGAATAAAAGCTCATTCCCAACTTGCTGCCCTGACTGCTGGAAACCCCGGAAACTAGATCTACTCACCCTTCGGCTCCTGGGAGAAGTGGTTTGTCTCCCGCACTAGGCTCTGGTGCATCATCTTCTTCGGAGGAGCCAGCACTTGACGACTCCTCATCACTGTCGGCCAGACAGTACGCTCTGGGCCTGCAACTGAACAGGACAGAGTCACCACCGCAGCCTGCCCATCACCCAGGTTCTGCTTAGAAAGAGAACAGACACTCCACTGCCACCACTACTATACATCATTCTCCCCAACCCACCCCAAAAAGAAGAGGCCCAATCCAACAGTCCTGGGATTGGACTGGTTACCCGGGAGACGCTTCAGTGCCAAGTCCCATGAGAGGACACAGAGGACTTGGGTGTGAAGAGTTCATGTCTGTACATGCATCAGGACAGGTGGTGGGAGTTTGGTGCAGTCAACACAAAATGCAGTGAGTTCATCAACAGTGCAACAATAGCCAAGTGGAGGGGGGGTGGATGGAAAGAACGATGGCTGCAAGGGTGAGGTGACAGCTTATGAAGACATGACCACTCCTCACCAATGACAGGAATGTTCAAACAAGTCCCCTGCCTGGCTGAATTCAAAAACTAAGCTGCTCTCTGGCTTTGTCACCTCCAAATTGTTTAGACTCAACACCCTTTCTTATCCCATACCTGGCCCAGCTCCTGAAGGCCACAGAAAAAGCCAACAGCCAAATAGCCACAGGGCACAAATCTCAAAGGACTTGAGGAAGCAACTGACACGAGAACCCAGGAACTGTCCCAAAGAAGTACAAATTTCAACACCATTGAAAAAACAAAATAATAAAAGGCTTCATTGAAGAGCAATGTCCTTCATTAATCTTTCCGGGTTGGATATTCAGTTTCTAGAGGCAAAAGAGTTGTCAGATCACCAAGCAGCAGTGAGTGATCATGGTTCCCCACTCAGGGTCACCAGGGGCTTCTTGGCTGAGCTTCAGCTCCACAAAGGGCAGCTCCCTCCCTGGATGACAGCTTCGCTTCAGAAGGGAGGCAGAAGGGCATGGCCCTACTCTTGAGGCTCAGAGACTTAACTGGGACAAAATGAACAAGGGACAGAGTAGTCTCTGAAAGCTATTAAGCAACCAAATGGTCACTAAGCAGAGACTGGACCTTGTATTTTTGACAAGGAATAAATTACCAGGACACGGCAAGGCAGTAGAACTTGGGTCCTATCTCCCTGCAGGTACAATCCTTCGGGGTTTTCCTCTGATGTTGCCCTTGGGCCACCAGAAGAAGCCTAGGGTGCAGTCGTCTCCTAGTCAACAGCAGCCAAGGGCACCCAAGGGCAGAGCACACACACTTGAAGGCTCAGCAGAGGCCCCAGCACTGGGCTGCGGGACTGAAATCTCCGCCCTGAAACAGGAGCCTGGCTGTAAGAGGACCCTGCCAGTGTCCTCCCTGGCAGGACACCCGGATCCTCCTTAACCCCAGCTCTGAAACATTAGAGCCAGCCCTTCAGCCAACAGGCTTGAGTGTAGTGTTAAAGGGAAACTCCCTCTGCAGACACAAAAGCCTCTTGTCTCTGGCCAGGGAAACAGCAACAGCACCTAACTGACTTGTTCTTCCTCTTCCATCAGAGGCTTAGCCCGTCCCAGAAACGCTGGTCACAAAGAACTTTCCATGGTTAGACAGCCCTTACTAGAGCTTCTTTTATTTCTCATGTACAGAGCAAAACACGATTTCCAAGAAAGCCTAAATAGGGTCTTGAGGAAAGTTGGGGACACAAATCCCCAAGGATAACACAACCATCTCAGAAATGTGTCCTTCTCTACCAGTTATGACTGGGCTCCCTGGCGCTCACCCAGTGCTGCCAGGTAAGGCACTGCCCTGCTCCCCATCCACTAGACGAAAGGCTGCCTCAAGATCTGGGGCCCCAGGGGAAGCTGCTGAGCCACTGCCCCTCCTGTCCTCACCGGCATTTGTCATCTGGCAGCCTCCAGACCCAGGGCAGCAGATGCCGAAGGCCGAGCACTGCAGTGAGCTCTCAGGTTCCTGAATTAATCCTCCACAGGGCAGAGAACAGGACATTTTGTGGCTGAGAGTTTATAATTTAGACAATGCTATTATCGGTTAAAGCAGATCAGATGACACAAAATTCTGATTTTTACCAAATGTTACTTCTACTCTGCAGGGGAAGCTATGTCACATGGCACCCAATACTTCCTAATTCAATGTGTAACTCACTGGCTGATAGTTTTATAACTGAACATGCATTTTATGTTCTCAATCTATGATGTCAGCATGAACTTCAGAGAAAGACACACTGCACACATCCTGATATATATAAGATGTGCTAGATCTAATAAAGCCTAATTTTTCAAAACACACCTTAGAATTCTAGATGAGTGTGATATCCTTTCAAAGAGTCACCTTAAAAGGCTGTTGCAGTTTTGCTGCCCCTGCTAAAAATCTTTTGGGAAACGTGTTCGGAGCCAAACATCCAAGAAAAGGTAATTATTTTATCACTGATACTATGTCTCAGACCACACATTTTATTTCTTGGTCTCATCACTGTCATTGGCTCTGAACGACTTCTAGCAGTTTCTCAAAGATCCACTTCATCTACAGAGCAGGATGATTTTCTGTCCCTCGGGATGGTTAAAAGAATGTCAGAGACCAGAGGCAATTCTAAAAAAGCAGCTCCAAAATGTTCTAAGTGAAGGATGCATAATAAGATTAAACAGCCCAGTGAGGTGACTGCTTTGTGGGGCCACACTCATCCAGTGTATTCATTTTCTTTTAGTTAAGAGAAATCCGCCCCATACATCGCCACTGTGAACATCCACAGAATCAGACCTAACACAGTGTCTCAGGGTAGAGTTGTGGTAGTGTGCAGGGTACACTGAGGACTATGACCCAGCATGGAGAACAGAGGGGGCCTCCCTATGTGGACTTGCACCCTGGGCCTGGGCTGCAATGGCAGAGCAGGAACAGGCCAAGTGCCTTACAAGAAACGCCCACTCCGAGGCCACCTGCACTGAAGAGCAGCCAACACACAGAACTTCTCCCTGACCAACTTACTCTGGCCTCTTCAGGCAATTCCTAAAGCTGACTGTTGAGCTCACTACCTGAATTCTACTGAGTACATTATTGCCTCCCAGTTATGTTAACTGTATATGTCAAAAGAAGATAATTTGGAAAGTAAAAAGACTAAAGGAAAACATCTGCAAATATAAAGTGCATAAACATTTCAAAGGGAAAAGGACTTCACTAGAATAAAGCAACATATACTTCAATTTCTCACCATCACCCTCAGGGTAATAACAGGAAAATATGAACCAACTTCTACCAGTGAGTAGGACTTCTCACAGGTTGAGCAGCATCTCCTCAGACATCCCAAGGGCACAATCATTTGTGCACTTGAAGGGGGATGAAAAAGGCAGGAGACACAACAGAGATCCTGCCAAAGCAGGACAGCCCAGGAACAAGCCTTGCCTGACAGTGAGGCCCTGGACTGGCAGCCACGGGCTACAGGGAGCGCCTGGAGGGAAAGGGCTGCGGCTGGCCAACTCCTCAGACATCCTGCTCTTTGGAGAGTTTAACATCAAGGGAATGTCAGTACAAAGATCACATGTTAATAACAGCTAAGTGCATACTGACTGTGTCTCCTCCAGCACGTAGCCTCGGTGATTCCATACACCCAGGACTGAGGAAGTGAAGAAGTGGATTCCAGAATCACTCCTGGGATTAGGTTCTTAGCTATGGATGTGCTTTCAGAGGCTCTCAATGCTCCCAGAAACCTGAGCCAAATGGTACACATGTGGGCATTTTCTGGGGAAAGGATCCAGAGCTCTCAAGATTCCCAAAAGGTCCTTCACGAAAAAAGGGTTTAAGGGTTCATCTGCCCAGGACTTTTCTCCCAAGTGAAGTGCTTTTGAATTGTAGTATTCCTTGCTTTTAAAATTAAGTGACAGCCAATTACATGTCAATATAAAATTTAACAGGAAGGAGCAAAACATTTCATACCAGACTCTACTGGGGGAAAAAAGTGGTACTTTAGATATATATTACAAACTAAATATAATACTATCACATTGCAAAAGCAGAGGATTTTTTTTCCACAGTCTAGAGAATACTGCTTGTTCAGAAACATGTCTATTTTCTGATCAGCCAGAGTTTATGAACTTGAAATTGTGCCAAGAGCACTGGATAAATAATAGTTAACGTGAAACACCTAAGATGGCAAGGATCTCAAAGACCCAGCCGTGTTGGGGCCCCACTTTCTGTCCAAGACCCCACCCCCCTTCCAATGGAGTCCAGCAGCCCTTATGCCAGGCACAGGCTGTTTCCAGAAAGGGCTCCTTGTACAAACGCTGCTGACGGGTGTTTGTTGTGTCCTACTTCCGTTTAGAGAGACCTCATGTTCAAGACTGGTCCTGCCTGATGTGCTTCCTTGTCTAGGCAGCTGGTTCTGCAACTCTGGTCATGACACTGGATTGATGATGCTCAGGTGTGCATGGCAATGGGTGGGGGGCATGCAGGGACAGAAGTTGAATCTGAACACAGGACTAGATCTACCAGCAATTCAAATCTAGGAGGTCTGTATGACTTTCCCTGCCAGGAAAGCCTCTAAAATACTCCTGATCTCAATCCTCTCGGTCTACAAACTGAGCCTTTATGTCCAAGAACATGATGAAAGGATAAACTTCCTAGTGGTATCACATGGGACCAAACAAGACTCAGCACTGACAGGGTATGAAATGCTACACAGAGGCTTGATAAATACCACTCACCAGAAAATACAATCCACAGATTGCCGAATCCAAACACATTTTAACAAATAGAAAAATGAAAGGGAAATAGCACAAATGCAGGTTAGATTGCATACAGCAGGTGAAATTCTCCAATTATTAAAATAGTTACATTTCATTAAGAAACCTGGATAAATCAGAATAATCTAAGTAAAAGAACATTCTCAAATATATAACCTAGCTCCTTCATCTGCTATTAGCACAATATAAATAGAAGTATCAGGTCAGTATCATAACTAAGTAAAAATTTAAGAGCCTGTGTCTTATATTTAGACTCTGAGAAGGTGGCTCCCTGTGAAATGTTCCAGTCATTGCACTGTTAATTCTATGCAGAGGGGCTAAAGATGTGAGAGACAGACTCTAATCAGCATTTTTAGTTTTGTAAAAACGATTATATAATTTAAATTTGTAGTCAGTCATTTTAAAGGTGTGTGGGAATGTAAAATTTCCAGCTTATCCATTCTAAGCATTTAAGGGAAAAAATCAAACTTTATTAATTAGTTTACAAATTTGGAATATTTACTAAATCATACAAACCCTGGGCAGCAGATACAGTATCTTCTACAAAGAGAGGCATTTACCCAACAAGTCAATACTGTATTATTTAGGGAAAATGCATCACAGAACACTTTAGGAGCACCCTCTTGGCTGTAAAATCAATCACTAGTTATAAATATTTGTGATTAAAGCAGACAGACCCCCTAAGGGCTTTGGCCTTGCCCACCGTGGCTGTTTGTGGCTGTAAGTTGGAGGAGCTGTACGTTTCTGAATGATGGTTTTCTTCACAGAGCATTTTACTGCGCAGACAAGCCTGCCCTGCTGTCGCAGTCAATGCTTTCTGGAAAGTCAATACTGCAGCACTGAGGCCAAAAGGTGCTGAATAGGGGTGAGGACTCACAGTGTGCAGAGGATGAAACGGGGGAACCATTCCCTGAAACTCTCTGTGGTCCAGAAGCACTCACATGGAAGCTCACTCAACATCCGGGACTACTACACATCAAATCTGTTCTCAAAGGCTGGACGGAGAGGGTGGTTCTCCAGGGTTGGGTGATTAATAAATTCATATAGCCCCTTACCCTTCTTTGCCAATTTCTCCAACCTTCAGGGCTTCAACAAGAGGCTCTTTACCTAGTTTGGTCAAATTCATTTTGGTTTCAAGAGTCATCAGAAAGGACCCATTGTAGGACATTTCCAAATCGATCCAGAGTCCTGGAGAAATGGTGAAAAAACAGAAGGTTTTTTTTTCCCCCTAGAAAAACATGACTATAAATGACAGTATAAAAATTTATATTTGAAAGTATCTAAACAGGTATCACATTGAAAGTGTGTGTGTATGTGTGTGTGTGTGTGTGTATATATATATATACACACATATGTACATATATATAAAATTTTTTATCTTTCTATATCTCGCCTGTACTACCAAGGCATGCAAGAGGAAACCGTGAAAAGAAAAGCTTCTGGAAATGGTTCAAGCACCTGGCAAGTTGCCGGCATTTCAATATCATTAAAATGGTCACAGTGAGCTCAGTACATGTTTTCGAGGGAAGGGTCCATCCTCCGGGTTCTTCTCATGTTTAGTAAGAGGATGGCTTGACTCAAGGCAAAGCCAGGACAAGGTGTGCTGATTCCCAGGAAGGTAAGAGGCAGAAGAGAGGTGCAGACAAGACACTTCACTGCAAGCTGGGCTGTTCTTTAAAGACATACGTGAGAACCACTGTCTTTCTTAAAAGTATCTACAATTGTGGGGGTGGAAAGGAAGGGACACAGAAAATGGTTCAGTCTCAGCTTGGTATGATAAGGACAGTGACAAAAACTTTTAGAACTCTTTTCTTTTTGGAAATTGCCTAGTAATGGAAACAAAAGAATTAATATTCCAGCCCCAGGATTATCTAGATAAAGCTTGGTAATCACTTTGTACCTTAGTTTAAAAACCTATTCCTTGGAAAAGCTACTGATGTCAATGAAATCATATATCTAAGAGGCCATTTCATTGGGATGGCCCACCAGCAGAAATCTAAAATGCAAACAGGGACCAGTCACCTTGGGACCTAATCCACCACCAACATTCTATGACTCAGCAGGTAGGACAGGGCAGACGGGCATTTTCCAGGCTCAGAGTGCCATAATAATACCTCATGGACTTCCAATCAAAATACGATCCTTCAAGTGGGTGTTTAAATGTTAATAAACTTTTAGAGATCTTCATAAGATGAATGACAACATTTAAAGGAAGCAGGAAATTAATCTAAAACTATTGTTCATACACGACAGCATTTTCAAGCAATTACAGTAAATAACCCATCCCCCATTTGACCACAATCTCGGCTAAAAGCTTTGCCTAACCTCAAGAAGCACTAATGGTATATAATTCTTCACTGAAGGCAGAATAATTTCCAATTTGTTTTCAACAAATTCTTTTTATCATAACTGAAGGTAATTATTTTCCATGAATGACCAGGTTTAATTAAGTGACATGCAGACCAACTGTGATTATCTTCTTCGCAGCAACTCACAAAACTGCTTTATTTCTTGCTTACATTAAGCAGTTAGAAAGCATTAATTAGCTTGCTCTGCAAAGGTACTGTTACCGGAAATAAAGGGCATGTCTGCTTTCATAAAGACATTTAGTCATGAATCATTCCCAATAGAAGAAGAATCAGGGCAAAAGGCATGATATTAATAGGTTTTAAATTCAATATAAAAATAATATCAATAAAGAAAATATGTCTTCTATACCTCCAGCTTAATTTAACTTGAGAATCAATTGACTCAAATTATCTGGTTGCTGTATGTATTCATTCTTAATCATTTCTTTGGAAAATTCTAGTCAGGTTTCCAATAAATATTAGTAGTATGTATTGTCTTTGAAAATTGTCGTATTAAAGGCACCAGAATTTTACTTCTCATAAAGTGGAAGGTTTTGCTTGTTTGTTTTTAAATGAGAGGGTATGGATACAGGCTTAGTAGGCTTCTGGCCCATGCCCCAGCCACTGGGACATTCCCTCAGTGACACGTGGTCCAGTGCCCTACCTTCCAGGAGCTGAGGCAGGGAACAGGAGGGAAAAGCACATGGAGGGAGCCCAGTCACGGGGGCTTAAGTTTCACTGGAAGTTTCTCCACCTCTGTTCTCTGGCCTCATCTGCACAAGGGAGACCACACTGATGCCTGTACTCCAGCACCTGGCACATCCTAGCCAGCCCACTTCCTTACTTCCACACTCCTTGTGCCAGCCTGGCTTGCTGCCGTTGCCATGGCAGGCAGGAGCCAGACCAGAGGAGGCTGCAGGGCCAAGAGGGAAGAGGCTGCACCCGGCAGGAGCCCTGCCTGGGCGGGGGAGGGGATGACAGGTAGACGGCTGACCGAGCCTCTGCATGGGGTGACAAGGTCTGTGTTTTATATCATTATATATGTCCCATGAGGCTCTGGTTCTCAGTGAAAAAATGAAGGATTCAAGAATGGTTTGAGAACCTTTAAAAATAGATATACACTGCAAACATTTCAACAAATTCCTTTCATCTGACATGTTTGCATTCAAATGAGGGAAAGGAGACAATTTTAGCACTAGTGCAAGAAAAACTTGCTTCTTTGACAAGATTCAGCAGGCAGAAAGCACCCTGAAAACCTTGAAGCACAACAGCCCAGAGCCTAGGCCAACTGGTTACATAATGGGTGAGTCAGGAAGCTGTACCTTCCACAACTGAAAGGTGAAAGCAACAGCTTCTAGAAAGGTTGCCTTCCCATTGAGGACAAACGCAGCAACAATGAAGAGGGGAACATACACTATTCCATGAGTGGTGTCTTAGCTCTAACCAAGCTGAATGCTACTCATCTAGATGAATATAGTTAGAGTTGTTTCTTTTGTGCTCTTGACAAATGTTAAGACTTTATTGTGAGGCATTTCATTTTAAATGCTGGTTTCTGTAACCATCTGCTCTTGGTAGTGCTCAAAGACAAAAACCAGAAGTTGAGAAGGAACGTTTTTAAGCCTTTAAATAGTAAGGCAATCAGTCCTGAGAGGTTCTCGGAAAGAACATGAACACGGCCCTAGCTGGTTTGGCTCAGTGGTTAGAGTGTTGGCCTGCGGACTGGGGAGTCCCGGGTTCGGTTCCCGCTAAGGGCACGTACCTTGGTTGCAGTTCGTCCCCGGCCCCAGTTGGGGTTGTACAGGTGGCAACCAGTCGATGTGTCTCTCTCACATCGATGTTTCTCTCTCTCTCTCTTTCTCCCTGTCTCCCGCCCGCTCTGTCTGAGGACAGATGTAAAAATATCCTCGGGTGAGGATAAAGAAAAAAAAAAAAGAATGTGAACATGGAGTCCTGTCTTAGCTTGGGCTGTGGTAACAAAATACCATTAACTGAGTGACTTACACAACAGACTCATTTCTCACAGTTCTGGAGGCTGCAAGTCCAAGATCAAGGTGCTGGCCAATTCACTCCCTGGTGAGGGCTCTCTCCATGGCTTGTGGATGGCCACCTTCTCACTGTCCTCACATGGCAGACGCAGCAAGCTAGCGCTGGTTTCTTCTTATGAAGGGCACTATTCTCATGGTGAGCACCCCTCCCTCATCTACAGTGAATTACCCCCAAAGGCCCTACCTCCACATACCATCACATAGCAGGTTAGGGCTTCAACATATGAATTTGGGGTTAGGGGGGACACAAATGTTCAGTCCATAACGAGTCTCCCACACACAAGGGGTCCTCATGTTGAGGAGCTGTGCTGTGGTAAGGGGTGGTGGGTGCCTGGTTACCAACAAGTCCCTATAAAACCAGCACTTTATTCTGCAACATGGGAAACACAACTGACAATGACAATGGCAAGCTTCTTCTGTGAGCCTTCATGCAAGGACCTGTGAGCAGCTCAGGTGACTGTTTTTCCACTCTTCAGATTCATGAGGAAAGGATCAGTTACCACCGCCACCACCACGACTCAGGGAGACTGTGGCAAAAGCTAGAGCTCACTCTATCCAAAAGTGTTTACTGAGTTCTTAATGCAAGATATCAGAACTAAAGACACTGAGATGAATCCCTGCTTTCAGGAAGTTTACGCTTGAAGAAGAATAAAGATGCCTGGGCCAACTGGTACAGACCAGACCGATGCCACCAAAGGTAATAAATAGCCTTGGTGGGTATCCCCAGAGACAACTAGAACTGAGTTCTTCGGCCTTCTCCCCAGTATTCTATTTAACAGACTCCATAGCCTCTGGAATAGTGCTACCACAGCCATATCCATCTAGCAGTTTCACTCAGCTGTTCACTGTTTCATTACTATTAAAATAACTACAAGTCTCAGGCTCGTTGGGATAGGGTTAACAGGGCACCTGCGGCTCAGGAGTTGCGAGAACCTGAAGCCAAGCCTTGCTCACCTGAGCTTGGCCCTCATGTTATCTCTCCTCCATTTCCTCTACCCCTAACTATCAGTGGTTGCTTTTCACTCTGAAAGTCAACATTTGGCATCCAAGGAAGAAAACTTCTTAAAATGGAGCACTGATAATATATTACCAAGAGCAGGTGTGTGAGTTATTCGGCTCTTAGAAGATCTCACCAGTGACCATTTTGTTCCTGGCAAACAGACTGCTGCCATGTTCTCAGACACCACAGAAAACTAGCATTCCTTGTCCTTGGCTGTGTCTTTAGGATAGACGTCATTTTTAGCTTTGTCTACCTGTAACTGTTCTCTGAAACAGCTCCGCCTTCCAAGGCAGACACAATCACAAATCAATCTCTTCTCTCCCTTTCCTACCAACATCCATAAAGGGGTCTTTTTCTCTCTTTCCACAAAGTCTTTTTTCTTTCTGCAATAGGACCTAGTCAGGGAGTTCGCATGCCAGTCCTGTCAGCGCCAGGCCTCAGTCTGGCCCTGTCACTGTGCTCAGCCCTGGACAGCTGCTGTCCTAACGTCTACTGCTGACAAGGGTGTAGCAAGAGGAATGGGCAGGTTCACAGCCTAACTCTGGTTCCAGTTTCTGAAACAGTTGGCAAAATAACGTCAATCCCAGACCTGGGTAAGGCACCAGGCAGTATAGGTTAAGGTCTGGAAGATGAGTGGTAGATGGTGGACACCACCAGTCATGAGTAAGGGCATCTCTGAAGGAAGACAAAGTTCCTATTCCTATTGGTCATGGTAATCTTTCTACAGAATGTGACACCTTCAGTCGAAACATGGGTTGTTATCTGGGTATCCTGAAATGGGGCAAAACCGGTACAGTACTGCCATGGCAAATGCTCAACGACTATTTGCAGACTTAAATACATGCAGCAAACATCCTGAAGACTAAATGAATTCATCTGAACCTGAGGAGCACAGCCCACATCCTTGGCTCATTCTGACACTGGTCCTACGCACGGAAGATGAAAACCTGGCTGACAGAAGAGGTTCCCCACTGAGTCCCATCAGGAAGCTTTTACTAACAACAAAGCTTTGTGACAGCAATAGTAGCAAACACTGATGGCTTACTATGTGCCACATGTCCTCTCTGAGCACTCTGCATGTGACATTTATCTCCACCACAACTGGACAACAGCATTTTACAGATGAGGAAACTGAGGCCACGTGGTTGGTTAGTAACTTCCCGAGGTCTCACCACTGAAGCAGCGGGGCCCAAACACGGGTGGTCAGGCTGCAGAGCCATTGTTCATGGAGAGCCTCTGGCCTAGAAGCTGTGGAATGGGATGGAAGGCGAGCTACTGGGTGACTTTTCACAAGTCATACCCATTCTGGGCTCTGGCTTACACACCTTACATCTACAACATAGCAGAGTCCAGCTAGGTTATCTCTGGCTGCCCACTCAAGTCTATGCAGTCCATCTGCCCAATTCTTTAAGTGTTTGGTTCTAAATCAACTTTTAACCACAAGAGAAAGACTATTAGGAGAGAATATACCAAAAATGTACCAAAAAGGTAACCCTGGCTATCTCTGAATGATGGGATAATGGGTAATGTTTTTCTTTTTACCTTTTCCAAACACTCCAGTTTTCCCTATAATGAGTATTTGCTGAATAAATGAAGGAGCAAACATTATCTACCCTAACAGAGTTAATAAAACAACGGGAAAGAGCTTGGCTGAGAGGTGTGGCCTGTGGATCCCAGAGGCCTGGCCCTGGGCACCGCAGCTTGGGTGGGGATAATGGGGTGGGAAGGGGAGGCCAGTTTTTGGGGAGGGGGTTACAGAGACAGGATTCTGGACCCCACTGTGTGGCCTGAAGACAGAGAGGAGACACACACACATTCCAGGGTTAGAGATGTATGTGGAGTGGGGAGGAGTCAGAGATGAGGCAGGAGGTGCAAAGCCGACTTCCAGCCACCTGCCATTGGTGGGAAGTGAAGATGCCCTGGGGAAGGTGGTGGTTTAACCTTATTCTCTACACTAAAAATTGGCTGGGTCCTAGAACTCGAACAGGCCAACATGGCCAATGTGTCATTTTCAGAGGAACTACAGACTTTGCTCCTTTGCAAGGGCCAAGAAAGCTGAAAACGGCATTTTCCTTTCCATTTATTCTGGTAGGATCTGCCAGCTTTAAGCTGTAGGATGGGTCATCTGTGAACCCAAAATTCTGGCCCCACAGCTGGCACTCAGAACCAGCACTCCAGGTTGCCTCAAAAAGAGCATCTGGAGAATGGGGTGATCCAGCCAGCTCTGGACCAAATCCCCTCTGAGCCATGTGCCTCCAACAAACAAGCACAAGTTAGAAAACATTTTTTTTTACAGTGTGTGTGGGGGGATCCCATGGGAGGTGCCTCTCCCGAGAGCTGCTAAAGCCTCTTCACCTGGGTGCCTTTACCTGGAAGGTGAGCTCTGCTTTCAGGGTCAGTTTGAACAAGTCACTCCTGACTTTAATTTCCCTAAAAGGAGAGTTTCCCTTAGAGCAATGAAATCCAAAATATGTATTTCCTTTGTGATCATTTGTTTTACCATCACTTGTGTCCTTTGTAGACTTGGAGAAACCTAATTTGATCAAACTTTTCAAACCCACAGGCTTTATGTCTTTATCATTCCTTTCCTCCCTTGTTACATAAGCAGGAAGATCTCTTAAACTTGCCCTGAAAGGAGTTAAATAAGCCTAAAATGGATTAAAAACTGACAAAGCTTTGCTCTCTCTAGTGCAGTGATTTTCAACAGGTGTGCCACAAGAACTTTTAAAACATGCACTGACTTCTTTTCCTTTAGATTGTCAAATAAAACAATGACATGGCCAAATATAACAATAGATATCCAGTGTGAATGAATCAAAATTATACTTTTTTTGTCAGCAAAAAATATATTTTTTGATGTGCTGTAGAATTTTAGTAATTAGTTTATGGGAGCCATGAGATGACAAAAGTTGAAAATAGCTGATCTAGTGAAATGTCTCTTTTCAGAGGTACAGGAAAGAGACTGCAGACTTTGACAGTTGGTGAATGTCACTCAGAGCCTGACAAAGCTGCCCTGGGAGGCTGCAGAGTCCAAAGCCACAGGGATACTTCTTAGACGCAGCAAAGCACAGCTGTGGCACTGTTCCCTTCTTGTTGGAAATTTCTGTTAATTCAACAAAGGGTGAATTCAGTCCTGAGATAAGAAACTGCTAATGCAATAGAAAACAGAGCATGTACACGTATTATTTACCTTCTTAAAAAAATTTTTTTTTCTTTATTGATTTTAGAGAAAGATAGAAACATGGATGAGAGAGAACATCAATTGGCCACTTCCTGCATGCCCCTCACTGGGGATTGGGCCCACAACCTGCATGTGCCCTGACCAGGTATCAAATCAGCAACTTCTTGGTGCACGGGTCAATGCTCAACCACACAGGCCGGGCTATTCACTTTCTTTAAGCCTGACTCTCAGAAGGGTTATGTTAGCTAATCATTTACCAGCTTGTTACATACAAGTCAATTCCTGAAGAGACAAAGAGCAAAGGGCAACCCAGAGCCTGCTAGAGGCAGACGAAGGCAGACAGCGCTTGTATGCTGACAATGGAGCGGAGATCCTAGCTACACACTTAACACATAGATGATGTATCTTTTAAAATTCTACATGTGGTTAAGAGAACTCTAGCTAAATCATTTGCAAAGAATCTTTTCTAGTTTTACTCCTCGTGAACCAGAAATTAACCAAACCAAGAAGCACTCAGATTTATTACAGTGTAGACATAATTATCGGTTATTGGTGATCTCAACGTGCAGTATTAGGTGGACTTCTACATTTGTGAATACTCTGGTCTACCTTTCTCTGAAATCAATGAGATGCTCAAAACATAAAAATATGGGCTCACTGTCGGCTGAAACATTGCTAAAGAGAGAGGTTTGCTAATTGTAGCACTAGGGAAAAAAATCCCTTTGGATTTATATCAAATGTATATAACACAGAAAATGATTTCACTAAAATGGTTCAAGAGCCACCCGATATAGCTATACAGAGACACAAGTAGATGCTAGAATCTCTAAATTTTCCAAAATATTTACTTCAAAAGAAATATCACTCTCTCAAAAAGTTATAATTATTTTCTTCCCTACCTTGTTCCTGAGCCTTTTGAGGAATAATGTAAATCCAGTTTAGGTGGAAAGAGGTTCACTTGAAAAGGGATATTACAGAAAAGAGTCAGCTGCTTCTATGATGGGGAGATTTTTTTCCCCTGCCTGCTCACGGACTGTTCTCGCCTACCTGGCTCACTCTCCTTTTCACCAAACTCTCGTGTACTAAATTTTCCATCAAGTCCTTCTAAGACTGACTACGTGCCACAAAACACACATAAATCTTTACATTTATTTAAACTCCCTATGCATTCTAATCAACTCTTTGTTCCCCAACCCACAGCGTAGGTGTAAATAACGTCAGTGGCATGTCTTGAAAAGGAGATCTGGGCACCTCCCTCCAGCAGAGCCTTACTCTCACAATAGTGCCTGACAACATCTTCCTCTTTCAAACACCTACTAAGCGCCTCCTAGGAGTGGTAAGGAACATAAAGATGTGAAACATGAAGATCGAAGAAATCTGCGAGCTAGAAGAGGGGACGATGTAAAGGTGTGGATACATAGAACAGTGGCAGCTTCTGGAAAGAGTTCAAGGCTGGGCAGATGCACGTGTGAGGCCCGGGAGGGGAGTGAGGCTGAAACCCAGGCCATTGCCTCTCACCCCATCAAGGGCTGCAGCCATCCAGGGCAGGGACTGTTTTCTAAGACACACAGAAGCACAGGCCACAACTGGCACATGGGCAACTTTGGGCTGAAGGAGGACTTTTAAGGATCCAAGAGAATAGAAGGAATAGGAGGAGTCCCGATCTATTCCTTATCAGTTTGAGGCCATGACTGCTAAGAACAAAGATAACCAACATGAAATAAATGATTTAAAAAGTCCCCAACTCCCTCTAAACACAAAGCCTTGGTATTCAGTTTTCAGTGATGAAGACATTTCACACTCATATAAGTGTCATTCTTCTCTAAAGTCAATTAAGAGTTACCTTGGTGATCAACATAAGGCTTGAAGGCCTGAAGGATTTTTGGCACAGCCACCCCCATGTCAAGTTCCGTCAGAGTTAGTTCATTCATAAAGTAGGGTAGCTGGAGAAAAGAAGTAAACAATGAATGAAACATTAGTATCCTGGTAAATGTTAGAATTCAACATACCCTCAGAAGGAATGGTGGTCAAGGTTTGGGGAAAACATTTATTTAATCCAAATTTATTGAGCACATACCACATACAGTAAGTACTAGGCAGTGTACTACGGACAGAGCTGTGAATGAGTCAGGAAGGTCCCTGCTCTCATGGGGTTTATCTTGGAGAGGCAAAAACAGATAAATAGGCAAATAACTTCAGAGAGTGGTTAGTGCTACAGAGAAAATAAAATGGGAGAGAGGGAATCTGGGGCATGGGTGGGGTTGGCTATCTTGTCTAAGGAGGCCACTAAAGGCATCTCTGAAGAGCAGCGTGGGCCAGAGACCTGACTGTGGAGAAGGAGCGGGCCGTATTGGTCAGGTTAATAATACCCCGTGTTGGCTCAAGTGTGGGAAAATGGACCGCTCTTAGACTATCAGTGGGGAGTTAAGAAACATTTCTTATAGGCAAACTCACAACGTTTATTAAAAATCCTTGGGAAAAAAATCACGTCCCTTGACCCTGTGCAGACATTTTCCATTTGCCCTGTGGATTAAAGTTCCTCCCTCTACCCTGGAGCTGGCCTGCAAAAATCACACTGATAAGCTCTCCTGCCCTCTGGCTTCCGTTGGACTTGGCCAAGGGATGTACCTGTAGGGAGGTAAGGTTCAGAGAAGAGTACTGTCTGGCATTTGTCCCTTCCTCTATTAAAGGCCACAGATCCTCACAGACAGGCAGCCCCCCACATAGGTGCTCCCCACTGCTGCCAGCCCTGGAGTGCTGCACCATCCCTTTTGGTTTCTCTACGTAGACTCACACTTTTATAAATCTCCCCTTTATTAAACTCTCCCCTTGGGTTCCTCCATTTGAGTGGGACCCCGACTAATACAGCTATCAGTAGGGATTTACTCTGGAGAAAATATCATAAAAGCATTAATATCATGCGTAGAAATTCTTCCTTTACCTCAAGACTACAAAATTAATTCATTTATGTTTCCTCCACCTTGATTTATGTATGTGTATGTATTTTCTTTTAATCTTTAGTCCGTTCCTAATTTTAGTGTAAGATGTAAATTAGGAATCCATTTTAATTTTTTTCTAATAGTCAGGTATCTTACCCTGAACCACCAATACTTTCACTACTAATGCCACCTTTAAATATGAGATTCCCAATACACTGGGGACTGTAATGAGCACCCTGTTGTCTGCCAGTCTCAAACTGCTGTTATTACTGTAGCTTTATAATACATTTTAAACCTGGCAAGTCCCTCTTCTTTTCCCCCAGAATTTTCTAATTCTCATGAGTATTTCTCCATTTGAACATTAGAATAATTTTGTAAAATTTAGAATAGTTTTTTGTGTTTTTTTTTTTAATTAAAGTTGTCCGGCTGGTGTGGCTCAGTGGTTGAGCGTCGACCCGTGCACCAAGAGGTCATCGGTTCAATTACCAGTCAGGGCACATGCCCAGGTTTTGGGCCAAATCCCCAGTGGGGGGCATGCAGGAGAGGGGTTAATTGGTGTTTCTATCTCTCTCTCCTTCTCCCTTCCTCTCTCTAAAATCAATAAAGAAAAAAAAAATTAAATAAATTAAAGTCATGGTAAACATTTCCCATAAAACAAGGTAGCATCTCGCCTGGCATGAATGTGATGCCTATTTTGACTGGACTTTGTTAGCTGTCTCCCTGCAGAGAAAATTACACACTTTTAGGATTCATCGGTCAGAGAACTTCATCTCTGAGTTTCTGTAGTGGGGGAGGGGTTAATGTAAAGAGGTTATAAAGTCTGTGGTGGACAAAAAATGACCAGAGACAGTATTCAAATGTACATTTCTGAATTGGTTGTTGCTGTACTTGGAAAAGCTTTTTCCAAAGAATCAATGTGATGTGGTTGTTGGCCTCCCAATCAGCCTACAGTATGCTACTTGGCCAAGAATGTAGCCAAATCTTGGACCTTTGCCCCCGCCCCCATCCTTTTGGTCTATTATTGTCATTCTAATACCCAGTGTGTCAGGAGCATGCTGAGTTTCTATGGGAACAGGAGTCCAACACTGAGCCGGGGGAGCAAATACAGAGACAAGAACATGCTGTCCTTCCACATGGCCTGTCCAACCTCCCACCCATCCCATTCTATACTCTGCAGTCCTGCAAGGACCTAAGATGAAGGAGGGGACTAGAAGAACCAGGCACTGAGAATGACGCAGCAGGGTGTGTGGTGGGCTCTCATTACCAATAAGCAGAATGCGGAGGGAGGTCTGGTTACCTACTTACTCACCTAAGTACCCAACTCTAAGATTCTAAAACATCTCTCACTCACCTCCCACCCCCTCCTCATTCAAATCTCTGATTTGAATCAAAACTCTCAGGCCCAGGCCCTGGAACAGACTCATTCCTACCCTGCAGGGAAGACAAGGAAAGTCCACTCCTCTTGCTCTGTTCAACCAGAACCTTTCTGCCCACCCAAGAGTCCACAGTGTGAGAGAAACTCACTGCATGTTCTTTATCCTCCTGAGTAAACCCAAGGGGTACTGGACAGTCAGGAGTATGGGACATTCTCAGGTCGATGGGTGGCATATTAGCAGTTATACGCAGTAACAGCAGCTTTTGCTGACACAGGCACAGAAGCCCCTAACTATTGAGGGCCCCACAGTGGTGTTAGAGCAGCCGCCAAGGCCAAGGGTATAGTTGCTGTTGGAGCAGAAGCTCAGCCTGTTTTAAACCCACCATTCACCATATTACACAGAGGGCTGCTATTTCAAAATGAGTAATTATCACGTGCGAGGCTGACAATCTGGGAGTGTAGGACAAGCCAGCAAAGAGTTCTCCGAATGCCAGGCCTTCAAGGGCTACCAGGAGGCAGGGAGAGCTTTGTGACAGGGACAGCTCATTCTGACTCTTGACTGGCCATTAACCAACACTCACTATATTATGAACTAGTTCTTCCAGAGATATCTGAATATTGGTAGTAATAATAATAAGAGTTCTTTGGCAGGGGTCGTGGCAGGTTCAGAATATTCTGCTGCCTTTCTGTTTATTCCACTGCCAGGGTCCCCTCTGGTCTGCGGGGCACTTCATGGGTAGCAGCTGAGGTGAGGTGCTAAGGCCAGCCATGCAGAGCGTACTGCTCCCCACCCCCACCCGGAATGGCTGGTGCAGCTGGCTCCAGGCCCCCTTCCTCCATCCCAACCTTGCAGCACTTCTGACCTCAAAAAATGAAAGGGAGTGTCAATTTGTGAACTGCAAAAGCCCACATGACAAGCAAAGGGAGAAAATGAAAATAAAAGACTTTTCCTCAACTTCCTCTGGGAAGAAGGAATGCCCGTTTTCTACCAAAGGGGCAGAGGCTCTATGGGCTTCTAACTCTAGAGAGAAGGTGGGACACTGGCCTCTCCGTTTATTTGGAATGTGTGTCACAAGGAGAGCAGTGTCCCATCTGGAGTCCAGGCATGTCCTGCTTTCTGCCACACAATGCCAGGACCCACAGCCTACCTGCTCAGGGAAGGGCCCATGGAAGTCTCTGGGGAAAGAGAAGTACTGGCCCTGGCCCTGTGCCTTGACCAAGGAACTCAAGCCCACATCCCAAAATCAATAAGGCTGAGTGAGCTCCAGGTTGACTGTAGGCCTCTCATCTCTAAACATGGGAGGGTCACTGCTGCTTCCTGCTCCCCCTACAGACCTGGTGAGCAGGGTGGGTTCAACCCTCAACCCATCTGAATAAACATAACTGACCCTTGTCAACAGAGGCCTCCCAAATCCCTGCCCTGAATTCTGCTCCCAAATCCACTTTTCCACTTAGAAGGCACCCTCTCCTCTTCATCAGGGGCTGAGGAAGGAAGACAGAGCTTGTTCATTACACAAAACCCAATCAAAGCTCTTTCATGCCGTTTCCCTTCTACCGCAATTTGGCTTAGCTCACAGTCTCATAACATGGACTCCTTGAACTCTCTGAAGTCGTGGGCACGACTCTGTGTCACTGTACTTTTTACCAGGGAAAGGATCCATCAGTTTCTGCTTCTCAAAGGTATCTATGACCCCAAAGATCCACTGACTTAAGCTGCTTACTGTGCCACCTCTCAGTGAAGACCTGGGGGCCGCAGTAACTCTTCCTTGGCTGGGTCTTCGCTGGGTCAAAAACTTACTTCTAAGTAACCTAAACAAGGTCTCCTGGTTGCCAAAAGGTGGTCCGAGATGTGTCATTCAGTGGCAACCATGAGGAATACTTAATGCAGTTTAAACTCACTTCCAAGTGGGTCTAAATCAGCACTAGGACTGTTTCTTCAGCAAAGAGAGAGCCCGAAATAAAATACCATCTGGCCAGAAATAAAGGTCAAACCCAGACACATTTAGAGTACAGTGTTAACTTCCCCAGCTTGGAGAGGGAGTACGACTTGGGGAAAAAGGTCTTAAGTAATGAGGCATGTTCCTTAGCATAGACTGTGCAGCTCAGACTGGGGGGTTGGGTGGGATCCGGAAATACTAACTTAAGATAACAGAAGTCTATACGACAAATGTGAGCTACAAAAGCTCACACTTCCCAAACCAAATTCTGGATTATCACCTAGAATGGATAACAATGAGGGCAACACAGAAAATAATAGGAACAGTCACTAAATTCCCATTACTAATGATATAATGCAATTAATCATACAGTCAAGGTCACAGCCCAGGTATTGTTTAATGAGAACTTACCACTCTCATATGTTATATGCCTTAAACTGAGTTATTTTTCACTGAAAATACAATAGTACAAAATTTCCAGAAATTAAGAAACGTGAAGACTTGGAATACCTTTATTTTGCTGAGTTTCATTTGGATTTTCTTAGACACCAGATCAGACCAGTACTTCTCTCCTAAGAAGTCCCAAAACATCCTTCCAAGCAAGGCATTCACCCAGGCTTCCTGTTCTTCCTCCTCAGAGGGTGGAGCCTCTGGCAACTGGCAAAAGAAAAGAGACCAAAATTAGCTAGAAAGCAACTGGAGAACAAGACAGGTGCTTATTTTTATAAAGTCACTGAAGGTCCTTCCCCATAGAGATGGGCGACCATGTGAGTCATATTTCTTCCCTATAAATTACAAGTTCCACATTATGTCAATGAAAAGAAAAGCCACCATCACAGATAAAAACTCTTCTTAACCTACTACCAGTCTTCCTGTGAATCAGCTAATATTTCATACAATTAGCTCAGCCAAATTGCCCTGCCCCCCAATTTAGGTTGGTATTGAGCAAATGTCTGCCCACCTTTCTTCCTCCCCAGGCAGCCCTACAGTTTCCCAATGCCCAGGACTCTTCCATCCAGCCTGATTCTGTGGCTCGTGATTCTCTTAGGCGAGGGGCAAGGGAGTGCTTCAAAATACTGATGCCTCTATCCTACACCCAGACACACTAATTTAAGCGGGTATCAAGATTTTTAGAATCTTTCTCACTGATATAATGAACAAGTGAGGTTGAGAACCCCAGCCTTGGATTAGAGAGCGCCACTCTCAGGACTTCAGTGAAAGTCCCGTAGCTCTTCTCACCTGGGCCTCTCCTCCACATGACATAATCCATCTAAAACATCTGTCATGGTCAGTGTGCGAGGCAGGAGAAGAGCAAACCTAGGTTAGTCTGCAATTTCTAAGAATGGTGATACCATGGACTCTGGCCTGGTGAGGGTGAAGAAAAAGGAAGAAGCAGCAGTGACATCCACAAGTGCGTGCTGAGGTTAGGAGGTTAGTGCAGGTAATGCTTGGTGGTCATCACCGTTGTCACTGTTGCTGTCCACTGAGCCCATGCCAGGCCCTACAATAAGACTCCTTCTCAGGTTCTCTCTTCTATGCCTCACAATACGCCGGAAAGACAGAACTTTTATGTCTATTTTGGAGATGAGAAAACAGACTCAGAACCTTGCATTGCCTTGCCTGAGGCCCCTTGTTGATTAGTGGAGCCTGACTCACAGCCTCCTTCTCCTGGATCTCCACTTGCTCGGTCCTGTGGGAGGGAGAAGGCAGTGTGACTGGCTCCTGGTATGACAGACATTTCCCTGTGCTGAGGTCTCTAATGAGACTATAACTTTATAGAAGCAATTAGCCTTGGAAAGCAAAGACCAAAAGAACCAGAAATGCAGAAATCTGTGACTTGTTCACCCTTTCACTTCTATAGTTTATATAAATGTATTTGTCCTGCCCCCAGGGGTTGCCTGCAGTCATAGCACACACCAGACACCCTCGTCGTCTCCATGCTCCATACACATGCCAGTGTGATCTCTTGTGGGCAGCTGTGTGCCTAGGCCAAGGCACAGTGCACAGGGGGCTTGGTACTCATGGATTTGACACTTGAGGATGTGATGCCTTGTGAGCACCTCAAAGGTCCACAGCATGTACCTAAGTGTGACTTTTCTGAAGCCTGGAGTTCTGAGGCTCTGACCAGGTGAACTGGTCACTGAGCTTGTACAGGGCCTAGTAGACTCCCAGCTTGTGCCATCTTTCTCTTTGGGGACCTGGGGCTTCACATGCATTTTCAGTCTAATGTTACTGCATGTAAACAGAGATAATCTGTGTTCCAGGAGTCCTTCAAATTTGGGTGTTTTGAAAGGTCTCCCTTATAAATGTTGGTGAGTTTCATTTAAAAAAAATTATGTTCTCTTTCATCGACGTTTCCTTCTGTCTCTCCCTCTCCCTTCCTCTCTCAAAAATCAATAAAGAAAAAATTCTTAATTGGATTAGGGCCAGGAAAATCCAAGATAAGAGTAAAGCAGTGACGGTGACCAGAAAGTGATCCCAAACTCCACTATTAGCTCATTTTGATTCATCAGAATATTAAAGAAACACACCTGGAAAGCTGTTGAATATTCTATTCAGACCCTCCCCTGAGACCTCCCAAAAACTCCCACCTTCAGAAAACAGATAAAAATGCTTAAGACGAAAGACCCAGTGCTAACTCTCTCGAGCAGAACTATACTCCCCCTTCTTTCTCCTCAATGTGGAAAGAGCTTTCTTTCTCCTAAGCTCTAAGGGTCCCCACAAGACTTGCAACCAGGGAGCAGTGGGCAGCGGCAGTTCATCCTTAGCTAACCCCTCGAACCTGTCTCCAAGGTCTCCTTTTGCCTCTGTAGTTCCCTTTCCTGAGTCCATGCAGCCCAGTCTAGGCTCACTCCTGTTGCTGTGATTTGGCCTCTTCTATCTTAGGTCTTTCCTTTGTTTCACTGTCCCTAGCTTTAAAAATGTACTCTCAATGTCGGCCTGCGGTCCTGAGAGACCCGGGTTCGGTTCCCGCTAAGGGCATGTACCTTGGTTGCAGTTTGTCCCCGGCCCTGGTTGGTCGTGCGGGTGGCAGCCACTCGATGTGTCCCTTCACGTCGATGTTTCTCTCTCTCTCTCTTCCTCTCTCTCCCTCCCGCTCTATCTGAACAAAAAATGGAAAAATGTCCTCGGGTGAGGATAAAAAAAAAAAAAATGTACTCTCAAAATCATCAGGCTTTGTGTTGTGAAATATTTCCTACACAAAGTCAAGAAACCACACATTCCAGACCATGGCAAGGCAGACTCATCTCAATACTGGTCCCTTTCCAGTGAAAATCTAAAAAACAATACACGTTGATCATTTCTTTTGAGAAGACATGGCTCTCCCTCACTTATTTTAATGGCTGGAGAGTATTCTCTCTGTGCTTTTCTAGCGCGGTCATGCCTTCGGATATTGCCCAGACACTTCTACCAGCGGGCCCTGGGTGGAGGAGCGGAAGCCTGTGACCAGCAAGCACTCAGACATGCCACAGACTGTACATGTTTCATGGAATCACTTCTCTGTCTGAACACCTGCACCCCACCCCCAAGGGGATCTGGTCCAGCTTCTCTGAAGTTATTGTCTTTGAGTCACATCAGATTATCTCCTCCCCTGGGGAATTCAGGCCGAGCCTCGCTGCTGCCTACATAGAGCACTGCATGTCTTCCTTAGATTTGTAGTCTACATAAGGAACAGGTTCCTCTTTCCCTTCTCAAGTGGGAGAGTCTACCCTTTATTAACCTTTCTTTACAACTCTAGTTATTCACAGGAAACAGGTTTAGCCAAAAAAAAAAAGAAAGAAAGAAAGAAAGAAACAAAGGCTATTTCACAATTTGTGTCCAAGCCAAAGACATATGATGTGGAAATAACTTTCTGAAATAACTGGCAAGCAGGTTGTTTTTTCTTTTCAATGGTTCCTTTTTCTAATCCAGACTTTTCTCCACAGACTCACTAGGAACAAAGAAACATCCAAGAGCAGCAAAACATTCAGAATGCATCAAAGCAGCTTAATGAACAAAATCTGGATTCAACAGGCTGCTAGAAAGAACTCACATCCAATGAATGTCATAAACATTAAAGAGCTTAAAGAATAAATGTGCATACATTTCCTAATATTGCTGTTTGGCTGTAGGAAGGAATTTGAGAAGACTACCAATTTTACCATTTCAACTATATACATACATTTACAAAGGGCAACTTTCTTTTTTTTTTTTTTCCTCACCCGAGGATATTTTTTCTATTTTTTGTTCAGATAGAGTGTGGGAGGGAGAGAGAGAAAGAGAAACATCGACGTGAAAGGGACACATCGAGTGGTTGCCACCCACACAACCCAACCAGGGCCGGGGACAAACTGCAACCGAGGTACGCGCCCTTAGCGGGAACTGAACCCGGGTCTCTCCGGACTGCAGGCCGACGCTCTAACCGCTGAGCCAAACCGGCCAGGGCCAAAGGGCAACTTTCTAAAAAATGGCTTCCAAAAAGCAGTTTGGAGAGGTTAATGGTCTGAAGGTGAAGAAGGCTATCATAACTGAGTAGCTCTTGGGATATACTTTATTAAAAACTAACCTCCAAAGTAAAGTAGTAGACTTACTTAATTTTGTTGTGTAATCTTTCCTATTACAAATGGCTAGGAGTCCAGCCCAGGTTTTCTGTTACAAAGAGAGCTTAGTGCCTCTGATCCTAAGGTTTGGTCACACAAAATCTGGTGCCACTTAAGGGTTTCATAAAGGGCTGTTGGGTCCAGGAGAAGGCACAGCGAAGACCCTTCACCCAGGGCAGCCTATATTATCTCTAAACATTTCTTAAAACCTCTCATTGGAAAGGCGCAAGGAAGTGCCTGATGTGATTTGAAGACTGGAAGACAGGCACACGGCAATCCCGCTTCTAGGATGTCACCTTGGAGATACACCCCCAACAACAAAAGAATACACATGCACAAAATTATTCATCACAGCATGGTTTGTAATTGCAAAATATTGGAAACAACCTAGATGTCCATATAAGAGAGAGAGAATAAACTATGAAACATTGTGCAATGGAGTTAGTACTCTGCAGCTGTTTAAAATAAAGCGAGGGAGAGATAGTTATGAACTGATGTGGAGTGATTTCCAGAATGTACTGCTAAGTGGGGAAAAAAAGCAAAGTACAAAAGATTAGCCATAGTATGCTACCCTTTGAGTAAGACAGAAAAGGAAATAAACCCAGAAAGGATTAACCAGAGACTATAGAGATTGGCTCACAACAAAGGTGAGTGAGAACAGCATAGATTAACAGAGGGAAGAGGGTGGGGGAGGAGATGACACTTTTCTGAGTACAGCCAAACCTCAGTTCTTGAACATCTTCCATTTTGAACAATTCATTTCTCCACCGGATAAACCTTCCATGCTGATACCTGTATAATCAATCACGTGTCTCTCAGGCAACAAAGGAGAGAATGTGCAAGTATGAGTCAGTTTACCTCTAAGCCTTACGTTGTTAACAATGTCCGGAAATTGTGCTATGAACATTTCCATGTTTGTTTGCTTTTGTTGTTGCTTAATATTAAATTTTCATTTTTTACTGTACATTTCATTTCCTTTTTGTTAACCTTTCATGTCCTTTTTGTTTTTAAAGTGTTTATGTATAGAGGCAACAGTACATTAGATATGTACTGTATATAAGAAAGGTTAAAACGGAATCATTTTGGGGTCTGGAATGGATTAATTCAACTTACAATATTTCTAATGGTAAAAAGTGATTTGGTTTTCAAATAGCCTTCCAGAACAAATTAAGTTAGAGAACGGAGGTTCCATGGTATGTCTGTACAGCTTTGATTTCTGAAACCATGTTAATGTTTCACATTTACAAAATAAGGAAATGAAATCAAGGATGAGGGAAACGGTCCTTATTTGCTCAAAGTGCATAATTAATACGAAATAAAACTAGTAAAGGAAAGCATGAAAAGCAGTAGAAGTAGTATAGGAACACTGTAGCAGATCTTATTTCCAAAAATGGTACAATGATATTTCACATCCCACATGCTCTTCCAGGAATCTGCTATTCCCTCAGCAAGAGGTGGAATCTCTGTCCTTAAAACTGGGAGGGCTTATGTGGCTGCCTTGACCAATACAGCACAATGGAAATGACATTATTTTACTTCTGAGACTAGGTCATAAAAGTCAATATAGTATCCACTTGGCTCTTCCTCTGAGGACACTTGCCTTGGAACCCAGTCACCATGCTGAAGGAAGCCCAGACCACCTGGAGAAGAACTGAGGCCCCCAGCCCTCTGCCCTAGCTGAGCTCTCATCCAGCAACCAGCATCTACTTGCCCGCCATGTGAGTGAGCCATCTTGGAAGCAGATCCTCCTGCCCCCAGTCCAGCCTGCCCAGCTGACACTGTGTGGAGCAGAGAGAAGCCTTCACTGACAAGCCTGGACAAATTATAAATTTGTGAGCAAAATAAATAATTATTGTTTTAAACCAGCACTTTGGGGGCTCTTTGTTATATATTTATAGATAACTAAAACACACACCTATGCCTTATTCAGGATCGTCTCAACCAACAAATCATGAGAGCCAGGATGTGACCCACACATGCTTCAGGCAGGCCAAATGAATGCAGAAGTCCAGCACTGAAACTCATGCGCTTCCTTCAAATGCCTTTCTTTCAAAGGCTTATCTCTGTTCACACAATTCTGACTCTCTGGTTTCCTAGCCCATGCAGATTAAAATCGCTAAACTAATAGGGTGGGGGTGGGAGATGGGGATAAGTGCTCAAGGAAAAGCCAGCTGGGAAAACACAGACCCACACCAGCCTACTGACAACCGAGAGAGAAAACTGCAGTCTGCAGCCTGGGAAGGCTCAGACTGGGGGAGAAAGGCCTTCTGACCTCAGCAGCCCTGTATGATGACAAGCCTGCATTTCCGTTTGTTGTACTCTTTATTGAGAAAAGTTTAAGTCATTCCTGCCTGCTCTGTTTAAGGGGGCCAGGAGCACAATATGGTTTTTAGATTTTCATCAGACTTAGAAGAAAAAAAAAATGTTTACTGGAAAGGAGATTTGTACTAGAAATCCGCCCCCATCCCAGCAACACTGGGTTGAGAGACCAGGCTGTTGACCATCAGGGTCTCCTAGCCCTTGGGGGCTCCCACAGACCCCAGTGATTACTTGATACAAAAAGCACATGGAACTCATACTGAGGAAACAATGTTCTAAAACCTGTTTGTTCTCATTTAAGGAGTTCTTTTAAAATGCAAGATTTTTATTAGACAATTTTCTTACATCAGCACGTAATTCTGCTCCTTATTTCCTGAGTTTGATGAATCCAGAGAGAAAGGGAATTTGGGGGAGGGGGACTCACTAGTGATAAATTGGACATTTCCAGAACAGTTTTATATTAACCCATTCCAGCCTAGAGGGAGGTCTATTTCCCACTGTGGCTGGTAACTTAGGGCAAAAGCCATGGGCCAGCAAAGGCATATGGTCTTTATTTGCCCTGATAAAGTAGGTTACATGAGGAGGATTCAGGGCCTCTTCCACACTGAACAGGCTCAATGAAATGAATCAAGACTAAAGGCACAAAGAGGAAGGTATCAAATGCTTCCTGTTAAGAACAGAAATATGGCCCCTGTAAGAGGTCATTTTAGTAACTGAACATGGAACAAACAGGCCTCCTGCTTCACAGGTGGGAGCTGTGTCTCAGAATATTAATGACAGTGGTGGCAAGAGGCCTCGGGGTCAAGCACAGTTTTATTTTATTTATTTATTTTTTCTTTATTGATTTTTAGAGAGAGAGGAAAGCAGAGGGAGAGAGAGATAGAAAGATGGATGAGAACATTGACTGGCTGCCTCCTGCACGCCCCTCACCAGGGATTGGGCCCACATCCCCGGCATGTGCCCTGACTGGGAATCTTGGCAGGGGTCAAGGCTCAACCGCTGAGCCACACTGGCCAGGCTCAAGCACAGTTTTAGAATGACCTACCAAAATGGCAGCCGAGGCATCGCAGCCTCACTCCATCACAGCAACTGTGAAATTAAGCTACTTACCTTCTGTGAGCCCAAATGAAGAGAATATCATCTAGTTTGCAAGATTGCTCAAGGGGTCAGAGAAATTCTAATAAAGAACCTAACAAAGTCTGGCAGCTTATATTATTTATCTGATCACAGATGGTCTTGAGTCAATATCTAGATTGTTACACTTTGGAAACAACACTGGTGGCAAATCTTCAAAAACACTGGACATAGATGAAGAGTCTGAGAATTTGAGAATGCAATGGTTACTGAGAAATTAGACCTCTATTACTAACAATTAAGTGAACTTCCCTACTGATCATCCAGTTGTTAATGTAAAAAAAACTAAACTGGTTCTCTCACACCTCACATCTAATTCATCAGCAAATCTAGTCAGCTCCCCTACAACACATACCACAAAAGCAGCCCCTTCAAACCACCAGTTGTTACTACCTCTAATATAATTTTTTTTTTTTTAACCCTCATATGAGGACACTTTTTTGCATTTATCTTCAGATAGAGCAGGAGGGAGAGGGGGAGGAAGAGAGAGAGAGAAACATTAATGTGAGAAAGACACATCAACTGGCTGCCACCCACACGTCTCCAACCAGGGCCGGGGACAAACTGCAACCGAGGTACGTGCCCTTAGCAGAAACCGAACCCGGGACTCTCTGGTCCACGGGCCGGTGCTCTAACCACTAAGTCAAACTGGCCAGGGATATTACTACCTTAATCTCAACCCCAATCTCCACTGCCATCATCGCCTCCCACCCACTCTATTCCTCCTACAGCCAATTCCCAAGGAGAGCCACTTATCTTTCAAAACTTAAATTATGTTACCCCCTACTCAAAACCCTACTGGGGCTTCCCATGCCCCCTGGAATTGATCTGATGTGACCCTGCCTCTCTGCCCCTTGCTGTCACCCACACTGTCCTCAACACAGTTCCCTGAATACTCTAATAACAAACCTTTGCACTTGCTGGTTCCCCGCCTGAAATGCTCCTCCCACATCTATCACCATAGCTCACTTCCTCACTTTGGTCAGGTCTCTGCCCAAATAAATGTCACCTCCTTAAAGAGGCTCTCTTTAACCACTGATCTAAAATAGAAGTTCTGGCCACTTTCTATCCTCCCTTATTTGGCTTTATTTGTTTCTATCACCACCTGATGTTTGTTGCTATCTCCCTGACTAGAGTACAAGCTCCCTGAGGGCAGGACCCCCTCTCTCTTATTCATCGCTGTGTCCTCAATGCCTAGAGCAGGGCCTGGCACACAGAGGTACTTATGTATGAAGAAAGCAGTTTAAGTGGAAGATCAGAAAGCCACGGCCTGGCAGCTAGCATTACCTTTTTTCCAGCCGTGGGGCTGCTCTCCGCACTCTGCACGGGGCTCCTCTGGGGACTTCGGTTCTCTTGGGGGACACACCTGGCCATGTACACACTGTAGTCCAGAAGCATCTTCTGCCGCACGCTGCCTACCAGCTCCTTCTGCTTTGGCTGGGACATAATCTCCTCCATGCTGCCTTTACTGCTGCTGCGACTGTGGGTCAGGTGTCCCGAGGGACTGCTGTGTCTGCTGTGTGAGGGCAAAACCCCTGGAGCAAAGAAGTGAGGGCTGTTAATACAGATGAAGAGGACTGCAAAGTAAATGAAATGTAGAACAAACTCCACTGGGTTACGTTGAGAAAAGCAGCTAAAATGCTACCAAATGACTATTTAAAAAATATTTAGAAGGTTATACTTCTACTCTTATAACACAATTTTTATAACCGTTTTTATTCCTCCCAAGACAATTCAGAGTAATGGGAGCCATGAAGGACACTGGGAGGTACCTTTTTCTTTTTTCTGATGATCTCTTAGGGTCAAATGATGGACTGACACACCACCAGGGGCAAATGGCAAGAGGATAGAAAGCTAATTATTCCTCCACAGCCATGGCAATTCCAAATGTGCCATCTTCCATTCAGTGAGGTTTTTATCAAGCACTTCTCTGGGCCAATTCCACATCGAAAAGAATAGGACATAATCCTTGCCTTTGAACTCAGGCACCTAGGCAAGTAAATCACAATTTTCTGTAATAAGCATCGGAGCTGAAGCACAACTAAAGGACTTTTAGGGCAGAAAGAAGGGGGTGACCACCTCTGCTCAAGACCGCCGAGAGGCACTCACCCCAGTACTGATTTCCACAGGTAGTGAGTGACCTCTGGACTGCCTCCTGAAGAAATAGTTGGTATTTTCCTAGCCCAGGAAGGGAAGGGCATTCCAGGTAAAGGGAATAGTATATGTAATAAGCAGGAACAGGTCAAGTTCAGGGAAGTTCCAACAGAGGACATGGGACAGAGGGATAGGAATCAGCAGAGGTCATGGTTATTGATGCAAATGCAGTGAGTCTGGAGGCCAGAGGGTCCTGCATTTCTCCGGTGATCCTGCATTTTGTTGGAGGACATATGTGGGGCCAGGAGCTTGACAACACTAGCTGCCTTATTACAAATAGGGTTCTGCTGTTGCTTCTTCTCTCAGAGGAATCCCAATATGTAAAAATAAATATAATCCTAAGGAACCAGCAATGGCCAGAAACATACATCTGCAAATGGTTCCATCATTGGTTGAACAATTCTGTATAAAGGGCTGCGGTGATTAGCCTAAAAGGTAAAGGATTCATGAGAACACACCGTAGGTGGTAGGCAGACAGTCATCCATTCATAGTGGGCTTCCTTCCTTCCTACCTGGAAATTTCAATTCTCCTATAGGCCCTTTAAACATACATAAGCATTTAGCACACGTCATTACCTGGTTTACTTCCAGAGACACCAGGTGGCTTCTTGGTTTCCAACTTCAGCTTAGATGCCAGAATAAATCTCCTAAACCACTCCTCTTTTTCTCGGCCAGTTCTCCCAAAGAGATACAATATCTGATCTCGCTGGCCAGCTCTTGTTCCCTCCTGAGGATGGGGTGGCTTTTTGGGGTCCTCGCCTCCCAGGTCTCTCTCAGCTGGCGGTTTTTCTTCAGAAGTCTCTTTATCAGTCTGGGCCTTGGACATAAAGTCATCTTGTCGACCAAGCTCAATACAAATGGGGTACTTTTTATTCCAGATTCGTTTTCGAGCCAAACTTTTAGGTACAAGATAAATCTATAGAGAAAGGGATATAATGATTTACATACTAAATTAAATATTTGCTACATTGTTTATTAAAATATGCAGAGCACAGATGCAAACTTTATAGTATTTTTTACTAAAATGATGAATGTGAAATAATTACTACCTAACTATAACATGACTATAGAAATTGGGATAAAATTTTAGAAATGACTTGTTATTCTTCAAAATTATTCCAGAAAATTATTCTCCAAAATTATTAGATGTTTAAGAATTTTGCAAGAGTTCAAATATCTATACATTTCAGTTAATGATAGCACAATAATTATTTAGTGAATCTTCATCAACTAAGTACAGATATCAATTGAGTTTAATGACCCTGGATGAAACATAAGCTGGGAGGGAAAAAAAAAATTTATGAAACCAGATCTAGAGGGAAAACTCAAGTTTATACCCTCAAGTTAAGAATAAATTTGTACAAAAGTTATTTTAAATATTTCTGTTATTTTGGAGAAACTTAAAGATCACGCATGTGAGTTATAAGAATAGAGAATCAACAGCTTTTTGGAATAACAATTTACATTTCTCAAAAACACAAGTATATAATACTTTTATCAAAATGTAGTTATTTTGCATATCCATAATTTTCACATTTATGGACTTCATTAGTTATTATCATAGCACCACCATACATAGCTTTTTGTTTGATTTAAAAAAGTAACTCTCAAAGTCAGAAGAGTGTGCTATGCCCTTGCTCCTCGAAGTATGGTCCTCAGACCAGCAGCATGGGTAAGGCTAACACCTGGGAGTTCATAAAAATGCAGACTCTCAGGCCCTACTCAGAATTGCTGAATTAGAATCTGCATTTAAAAGGACGTTCAGGAGATTCATATGCACATTAATATTTTAAAGGTTCTGCTCTCAATTATACTACTACTGGAAACACAACCTTTTTAGGGAAAAAATGCTCTCTACTCATATAAGTTTCCAAAATTAGTTGGGCTCACCTTGCTGTCTGAGAGGTCATAGATTTTCTGGCTGATGTAGGTGACCTCTGGCTTTGTTTCATTGTAGCTTGCCCTCCTGGATATATTTTTATTGGGCTTTGAAAGTCTTAAGGTTCCACCTTCAAGTCGAACAAAGACTGAATGTGTCAAAGTTGCATGGTAAGTTTCTGGATCGTAGTTGTAAATTTCATTCATCCATCCCTAATGGAAAAAACTTCCATTAGTAAAATCAGAATAAACACATATCAGAGTCAATATGAAAATAATGGCCACTGTTATTTGGGACACTAAAACCAAACCTGATTATGATTTAAGGGTCAATTTATTGATGACAAGAGGTTGCTGAGACAAGTGCTTAGATAACCAATGCTGAGGAGTAATTTGATATGTTTTTGATAACTAAAAAGTTGGATTTGGGGGAGAATAACAATGTCCGTTATCCTAAATAAAAGGTTCTTTTCCGTTTTCTTTTTTAAAGCTGACAAGAAAATCAGGAAACTCAAAAGTTTTGTTCTTGTCAACAAAGCAAGTCTTTTGCCCTGATACCTTGGGGGTGAGTAATCCCACCCAGCCTGGCCTTCCCAACCAGCCAAACACACCCTCTTCTCAGCCTCCTTGTAAAGATCTTTGAAATTTCACAGGCCATATTAACTCATGCTACCATTCCAGGAGCCAGAGAACACCTACCACTCCATTTCCATCTCACTAAAATCATACAGTAAAGCAGATCCTTGAGAATTAGGCATTAAATAAATCACAGATATGATCAATATGTCAAAAATCAAGGGTGCATAGTAACTTAAATGAGTAAAATATTGCTCCAGGGCCTCCCAGCCAACATAAATGTACTTTTACATTGATTTTTTTAAAAACAGCAAACATACTAAAGTGTATAAACAACACACAAAAGCCTGACACACCATGAAATTATGCAAAAGCTAATCTCATAGCTGTAAAAGTACTGCCCCACAGTACTTTTTCAGATAACATGGGTGGCCCAGAACTCTCTATTTATTACTATTATTTTAATCCTCACCCGAGGATATTTTTCCGTTTATCATCAGATAGAATGGGAGGGAGGGAGGGAGGAACAGAGAAACATTGATGTGAGAGAGACACATCGACTGGTTGCTTCCTGCACGACCTGACCAAGGCCAGGACGAACTGCAACCAAGGCACGTGCCCTTGACAGGAATCAAACCTGCGACTCATTGGTCTGTGGGCTGGCGCTCTAACCGCTGAGCAAAACCGCCAGGGCCCAGTCTCTTTAAAAGTAGTTCTCTAGGGGATTTTATTAATATCTTCCCACCCCATCCTCCAACCCCCATTTTATAAATGTCTTTCTAATGAGCAGGAAAATGCTAACACTCACTACACTGGAGTTGAGATTGTTATTCTTTTCAAGGAATAGCCATTTCCACAGTGAGTACTTGATCTCACACTGAGGTCTGGAGGACCTCTGCAAATGATGAATCCTCAGATTTCTCCTTTATTCATTTATCCATAAAGTGAATTTCTCTATACACAAGTAATACGTCAGGAGTTGATACAAAGATTAAAAATAGGACAGTATTCTTGACCTAAACGAGTAAAGAATTAAGCCTTCATTTTACCATCTTATGACCCCACTAGAGCAACCATACAACATTTGTCACAAAGAGTACCCTGAATGTGTGTCATGGAAGTAAAATTAGACATACTTCTTTGTCTTGGGAGATATGTGTGTAATTTATGAGGCAATTATATGGACTTAAAAACTTCAATATTTTTTTACAAGAGCTAGGAATCTCTCTCCCTCCTCCCAAAGAGTCACTTGTACTATTAAAAAATGTTGAATCAGTAAGCAGTAGCCATGGGAAGAGGGTGTGATCTAGGTGTCTGTAAAGAAACAGCAATGATCAGAGCAATGAATTAAAAAAGGAGACAAGCAATACAGAGCACAGTGAGGCCTGAAGTGGACTGTATTGTCACAGCATCAGTTTGGGTGGCTCTGTGTGGCTAAGTGTAGAACCAAGTACATTTTTGCTTCATAGTTTTTGTCTTTTTCTTTAGTTTGTTATTATGATGAAGTACATTCATTGGTTTCCTTTATTTTTTTCTTTATTGATTTTAGAGAGAGAAGAAGGGAGAGGGAGAGAAAGAGAAACATCAATGAGAGAGAATATCAATCGGCTGCCTCCTGCATGCCCCTCACTGGGAATTGGGCCCACGACCTGGGATGTGCCCTGACCAGGAATCAAACTTGTAACCTCTTGGTGCATGGGTTGACGCTCAACCACTGAGCCACACTGGCTGGGTCATTCACTGATTTTCAAATGCTAAACAAGTCTTGCATTCTTGGCGAAATTATATATTGATCATGATGAGCTGAAGTTGGATCACACCAGCTCATGAGAGCTGATTCTACATTTTTTCTTCCCAACTACACATTCAGTGACTTCACCTTGGTAGCTTGCAATCGACTGTGGTGGGAGTTCTTACACAATGAAATCATGAACAGTACAAAAAGGGCTTCCAGCCCACCCCAAAGAGCCAGTTTACAAGCACAACACTATTATTATCCTTTTTATATATATTGCTGAATTCAATTAGCTAATACTTTCTTTTCCCTCTAAGTTGACACACTGCTCAAGCCCTAATGACTTTCTCCATGCTAACAGTAATTTATTGAGGTACAATTTGCAAATAGTAAAAGGAACAAATCTTATACATGATTTTTTAAAGTTATTTATTTATTTTTATTAAAAGAACATTTGTTATTGAGTCTTTTATTTTTTTTTAAAGTTTTTCTTTATTGATGTTAGAGAGAGAGGAAGGAGAGGGAGATGGAAACATCAATGAGACAGAAACATTGACCGGCCGCCTCCAGCATGCCCCCACTGGGAATCAGACCCACAACCGGGGCATGTGCCCTGACCAGGAATTGAACCAGTGACCTCTTGTTGCTGGGTTGATGCTCAACCACTGAGCCATACCACCTGGGCAAGTTTTTTATTTATTTATTTTAGAGAGAGGGAGAGAGAGAAAGACAGAGAGAGAGATGTTGTTCCATTTACTGATACATTCATTGGTTGCTTTTTTTTCCTGTTAATCCTCACCCAAGGATATTTTTCCATTGATTTTTGGATGGAGTGGGAGGGAGGGAGGGAGAAACATTGATGTGAGAGACAAACTGGTTGCCTCCTGCACAACCCTGACCAGGGTGGGGGATCGAACCTGCAACCCAGTCATGTGCCCTTGACTGGGAATTGAACCTGAGACCCTTCAGTCCTCAGACCAAGGCTCTAACCACTGAGCAAAATTGGCCAGGGCTTACACACATGATTTTAAAAGTATTAACTTTAATATTCATAATAATAGCTGACATTTAAGCTCATATTATTATCCAGGCACTTCAAGGTGCATTAATTATCTCCTTCACTTCTGCCAATTCCTTATAATTTTATAGTTGAGAAAAGTGGTGAGAGAGGTTAAGTCATTTGTCTAGAGAGTGGTTAAAAAAAAAGTGGTCTTGAGAGTGGCAAATCTGATACTTCAATCAAGTTTACTTACCTGACTCCGAGGTCCAGGCTCCTACTTCACCTCCTCAGCAGCGACCCACCTTCAGTCTAACACCTGGTCACCCCTCAGGTCATGGCAAAGATGACACTTCTCTCAGGATGCCCTGATCACCCAGGATGCCCTGGGTTACTTTCCTCCCAGCACTGTATCTGTTAGCTGCCTGGTTTACTTGGTCACAAACTCCACAAGACATTCACAGTTGTAACAAACATTTGTCAACTGCACACATAAATGTAGCCTAGTCAGAGGTTGGCTGTGAGGATTAAACAGAAGCTGTATGTAAAGCATGTGTAAGTAGGACAGGCTGGTGTGCCCTTCACAGCCTGTAATTATAGTTCCAGGTGTACAAGAGGAGACAAGTAAAAGAACGAGCTGGGACCCTATGAAGTGCAGGGAGCTGTGGAGGTTACTTTGAAGTAGACAACTTGGTCACTTGATCCCAACAAGAAATACCAAGTTATAATTACACAGAACAGCAATGGTGAGGAAAATAAGTAACCTCAGAAAGAATCTTAAGAGTAAAAAAGCTTTTCAGAACAGAAACTGAATAAGCTCTGTCTTCTGTAGCAGAGGGATGTGTTGTGACTAGAGCCAGGGTTCCTGACTCCCATGTAGGGTTCTTTCCAGAATACTACAAGCTTTGATAGGAAACCTGAAGACACTCACAGGGGCTGCTACTTAACCCACATTAATCAGGCATCCAGGATGCAGACTAACCATTGGAAGGCTCAGGCCAAGAGGTGGCTAGGCATGACTTTTGAGTCCCTCTCATTCTGTCCCCCTAATGCACCCTTACAGACCCGAAACCAGGCTGTCCTTGCAGAAAGCAATTTCCCAGTGCAAAACCTAACTGCCTTTTGCACCATCAATCAGCCCATTTTTTCCTGGGGCTTAACCAACTCCCTAGTAAGCTGCACATGGAACTTCCAGACCTAAGTGTTCAAATATCAAATCTTGAGAGCAGCGCAGCAACACCAAGGCCTTCACCCTGTTCCTTATATAATGTCTAACCCTCCACTGCTTAGCTGTTCTAAATTCTTAACTCTGAATTTCTTACCAAGATATTACTCCAACTTTATTTTGTTTTGGGACATGGGAGTGGGTATAAAGAGATACAGTATATATAGTCAGCAACTCATTGCATTTCAGTAGTCAACTACAAAATTCAGAGATGCTCTGAACCCACACTATAGCGACTCAGACAAGCCTTGTTTCTTTCTGAAGCTGGAACTGTTAAAATGGAAATAGTGCATGCCACTGAGGGACAATGAGCACAGTCAGCCAGGCTGCAGCTGTCTGGCCCACAGTCTGGTCCTGTGATCCCGTTTGTAAAAAGGTTAGGGTTTTCTCTTCCATTCTCTGGTGGACTTAGAAGCCATGTCTGGCTGAAAGTACAAACTGCAATCTATAAAGGGACTCATTTAACACTTGGAAAGATTAAAAGCCACAATTAACCTTTTGCAAAATAATAAAGTCTGGAAGAACCACTATTGTGCTCACTTTCAGTTACAGTGCCAATCAGGAGGTTAAGGCCAGTGCTCTCTTGGTCAGCCTGATGCCGAGCTGACCAGAGAAAAACACCAGCCTTTTAGCCTGAGGAAGCAATGGGCATTTCTCCATCTTCAGTGCTTGGGGTGCCT